AGAAACCCCCTAACGCGAGCATCCAAGCCGATCGAACTAGCCGAAGCTTAAGGCATCCATGAGCGTAAAAGACCCACCACCATCCATGCCCTCCAGCGTCACCGGCGGTGTGCAATTCCAGGCAGTCTCAGATTTGGACGTTTGAATTTTTAACAAACTTAGCCAAAGCTATAGGTATTTTCCTTACGTGGTTTTGGAAAGCGATGCCCAAAAGATCCCTAACATATTTGTGCCCTCCGCATTCCCGTAACAAACGCAATCTGTCACCCTGAACTTGAGGACATTCAAACAACAAATGATCCACATCCATGTACACCCCGCAAATGACACACAGAGGGGACTCTACCACATTGATTCTAAATAGATGAGCGTTAACTCGCGTATGGTTGCTAGCCATTCTGCACGCACTCACAATCTCCTGTCTATTTAAACCACCGCATGCCTTGAACCACGATCTCACCGAAACTTTGGGCAAAATTGAATAGCAGAATCTTCCCAGATCGCCATCATCCCATGCAGCCTGCCAGCAATTCAAAGCCCCGACCATAATATTATTATAAACGTCACCCGGCAGCGATTCCATCGAGAAGCCGAACTCCCTCAGCCTATTCAGAGCCTGAGCCAATCTACAGTCAGGCCAGTGATCATGTATTCTGCCTAAGTCCCTGCTGAGTTGCTCCTGATTCCTTAAGGCTCGATTAAGGAACCTATCTGTTATTAAATTAAAGCGAATATCCAGTGGCATTATACCCGCTAAAACCTCCAGACTACCTGTGTGCGTGCTCGGCATAAGGCCCATGCAAATCCTTACTGCCCTCCATTGAACTCTTCTGAGCTTCAACTTGTGCGTTTCCGCCATCCCCTGAAAGGCCATGCATCCATAATCCAACAGTGTAAGAATAGTGGTCTTGAAAAGGATCAGCATTAGGTGGGGGTGAGCTCCCCAAGAAGTTCCCGCTACTGCCCTTAAGAAATTGTTCCTGACACTGCACCTCTTCACCAAATCCCTAGTGTGAGCAGCCCACAGGCACTTTCTATCAAAGACCACACCCAAATATCTAAATGTGCTGTTCTGAGGAATAATACTTCCACCCACTGAGACTTTAATCGAGGGATCACGGTGTCTTCTCGAAAATACGAGCGCCTCCGATTTGTCGGCAGAGATTGTGAGGCCCAAACCCTCAAAGAAAAGCCCCAATGCTTCGCACGCCACATTAAGACGATCCTCAATGTACCTGTCAAATGAATTCTCCAAGCCAACAACAATATCGTCCGCATACTGCAACATGAAACAATCACGGGGAATTACTTCCTCAACCGCACCAACATATATATTATACAGAATCGGAGAGAGCGTGGAACCCTGCGGTAAGCCAATCCAGCAGGATCTCTGCAACACGACACTTCCGTCCACGACCAGATTAATCTCTCGGGACACCAAGAGACCGTACAACACAGCCGTAAATCCACTTGGCAAGCCCTTACTGCTAAGATTCTTGCACAGAATATCAATGAGGACACTATCGTATGCAGATGCTATGTCGAGGAACGCACAGCCCAGGGAATTTCTCCTGCTAAACGCCAGCTGAACTTTGCAGTGAAGTGCCGAAATACAATTCTGCGTGCCGCAACTTTTTCTGAACCCAAACTGTGATTTGGGAATGATATTATTAACCTCGGCCCAAGTTTCCAATCTGACTAAGATCAATCTCTCCATCAGCTTGCGCAGCACCGACAGAAGGCTTATAGGTCTGTAATTCTTCATCAGATTGATATCCTTATGCGGCTTAGGAATTGGCACGACCTTCGCTCTGTTCCACTCCGCAGGAATGGCGCCAGATCTCCACATGTAATTGAACAGAGACAGCAGAGTATGTTTAGCACGCTCGGGGAAATTTCTAATGTAACTGGCCCTGATGCCATCCAGGCCCGGTGTCTTATTTTTGAGAGAGGAAATGCCCAGTTCCAGATCTGTTAAGGAAAAAGCGCCCGTTAAAGGGTCTCCACCACCGCCATGCGAGGGAGGTATAGGGAACACCTCCTGCTGCGCAGCAAATGGGGGTGCCAGCTTATTAGCAAAATCCTCTGCCCAATCAACCCGAAATTTATTCGTTCTCTGAGTAGGAATTCCACGGAACGACCTCGCCAAATTCCACATCTCTGACAAAGATGTATGGGAGGAAAAACTCGAGCACCTGTCTCTCCAGACCTGGATTCTCTTTCGTCTCATCAACCTCTTGAGGACTGCGTCGATTCTTTTATACGCCAAATACCTATTTAGACTTCCAATCCTGAGAAAGTGCCGATAAATCTGTCTTCTGCACTCCCAAAGCCTTTTACAGACCTCATCGAACCACGGCTTATCCCGTCTGCGCTCTCCTGTGTCCCCACGACAAGGAAGAGCAGCTCTTCCGACCGCCGCCAAAACACGATTTACAAACACAGTATATTTCTCTTCGCTATCAGGAATATTTTCCAATTCGACCAAGTCATTCTGCAAATCCTCCTTGTATTTCCTCCAGTCGATCCTTGTTGGGCTATCTCGAACAGCAACACTCCGCCGTGCGTCGACCACGCTATCACGCCCTCCTTGAACATAAACATTTAGGACAATCGGAACATGATCGCTGCCTAAGGTATTCTCGCACAGCTCCCACGCGCAGTTCGGCGCCAGATGATCGGACACGAGGGACAAATCAATAGCACTCGAACCATGCGGAGGGCAAGGAATCCTAGTGTGTCTGCCGTCGTTTAAAACCACCAGATCAGAGCTCTCCAGCCAATCCTCAATCACTCGACCGCAATTATTGGAAGACTCGGAGCCCCACATTGGGTTATGCGCGTTGAAATCGCCCAAGATCAAGCTCTTTCTGCCACGAGCGTTGTTCGCAAGAATCTCCAACTCCGGCCTGCCCACTCTGTTTCCATTTGTAGAATAGATCGAGAAAATTCTCAGCGTGCCACCCCCGATGAATACATCCACAGCGATCACCTCCCCAGAACGAACACTCAAATCCACTCTGTTCCATCTAAACGTGTTCCTAATACCAATTAAAACCCCGCCTCCTCTGGTACTTCTGTCCTTCCGCACAACAGAAAAACCCGGAATATTGCATTGAGAATTCTCACCCAGCTTAGTCTCCTGCAGGACGAGTATATCAATATCCCTTTGACAGCACAAAACCAGCAGATCTTGCATTTTGGGCCTTATGCTGTTACAATTCCATTGTAATAAATTCACTTTCATTCTTACATCCATCCTAAATTCGCACACAAATTTGACAACAAGGGCACAAACCTCGGAATTAACATGTCCATCACAGGAAAGACGCAATTCTGAACAAAATTCACTACCTCCTCCGGCACACCAATCTGACCCAAAAAGGACACAAGGATTTCCTTCCAAGCAAAACCAGACTTTTCCTCCTGACCACTCTTTTTTGTTGAATTCGACTTCTGCTTCTTCACCTCCGCCCTCAAAAGATCTCGCCTTGTCTTAACATTCTCTGCTTCACTCTCCTCGATATCTGACACCGACATTGAATCACTCAAATCCGCCACATTGTCCATCCCGGACTCTATCAATTTCCTTCTATGGAATTCTTTCTGAGACATTCTCGCCTTACTGAAAGCACATTTGGGCTTTGTGCTTTTACGCCTCCTCAACGCACCAAGCTCCGGAAAATCCTCCTCCAATTCCGTGGCACCATCCGTATCAATATCGTCGAGAACGGCATATATATTATCATCCTTACGCTGTCTCTTAGTCCCTCTATCCTTCGCACCACCGCCACTATTTTTAACAGCACCAGCATACGAGATATTGTGTCGCACTTCAGCCTTTCTCAAGAGAAGCTCAGCATGTTTGGCCCTAGCCTGGCAGACATGCTTCTTTCCAGCGAACTTCAATCTACAGTTAGGACAAGTGAATTCCGACACAGAGCACGCCACCGCGACTGCATGAATTAAACCACATTTTTTGCACCGAGATTTATTATTACAGAATTTGAGGGTGTGTCCGTATCTCAGACAATTCTCGCAATACATCACTTTAGGGTTGAAAGCGAGCACCTGAATTTCCAGGCCTTCGATCGCAATATACTCAGGTAAAGCGGTACCTTGAAAAGTGACACGAACCGCCTTAGCCTTCACCCACGCCACAGGAGACTCAGGATTGTTCACATCTGATCTTATAGGATTGCCAGCATCATCTCTAACCTTTTTACTCATGCGATAAACCTCAAGAATCTTGATATTCACATTTGGAGCTGCGGAGAACTTGCCAACACCATTCAAAATCGCACTTTCATCATCTTCGGTCTCCAAAATGACCACGCCATCGACTTCAATTTCATTGACTTGAATGTATGCTTTATAATTTGCCACGCACATCTCTTTGACACACCTATTGGCCTCCGCAATATCACCGAATATCACTCTGATTTTGTCAGAAAACATCTTCCTAATGCTCCTCACAGACTTGAATTTAGCATAAAGAACTTTGGCAATAAACAATTGACTGATAGAGACGCCTCCAATGGACTTTATATACACAATCAAAGGCCCCTTGAACCCATCCGGGTAACCACGCACACGGCCAATTGACGATGTGTCCACAATTGCAGATGCACCATCACTTGAAGACTCACCACCATCACAAGCCGCCGGAGACTCGTCAGAAACAACGAAGTTCCCGCTATCAGTCATATTGACCGATAAGCGGGGGACAACTGCACACTAAGCCAAACAAATCAGTGGCACTCGCCCGAAATTACACCGTGCATAAATGGGAAATAGAGATATAGATGTATAAAAACCCACACCGCTGCACCGAGTGACCACGTTGAGTCACCAAAATCACTAAATCGCTAAATAACTTAACCACTATCCTACAAACTACACTGAACCTTAGTCACTACAAATCCCCATAAACTCCTTAACACCTGGAAGCACTTAAAAACTACCAAAATCGCTTAAACCACCAGGAAAATATGATAAATATGTACTCCCAAAATTACACAGTTCTCAGCTTGACATGCACTCTGGAACTGGATTCAGTAAGTTGAAAAAAAAAAATTGTGGGTTCAATAAAACCAACATTGTTAGAACAAACACAGGGCTTTGCATATAAATCTCCATCAGTGAATATAAATAGAATTTCATTGATTAGTTTGTCATATTTGCTATAATAAAACTATGTGACATCTGCTCTATCAATAGATCAATTGTTTACGAGTGCGGCGCACATGAAGATTTATGCGCGGAGGCAAAATTACCATATATTGATATATAGTTGTTATTGTTTTCCACACGAAAAGTTTACCAATGATGTCTTCCGAGGCTAAGAACTTTCGTGGTATTCTTCCATAGACTTTATCATTGTTCAGCTTTTCTTTCTCGATTATATTTTGAGCACACACTCGTGCACATTCCGGATGACATATTGAGGTGGAACTTTAAACAATACCTCAGACCACTGCAGAGGAATTCCAGAGGTTGAGCGCCGATACTTGAGAATGCGGGGGTGGATATTTGCGCCGTGATAGACAGAAAATCAATGGGACACCGGGTTTTTCCTGGGAAAAAGTAGACCAATCGGCAACAATGCGGGCAACTTTTCTCACAATTCATCTCACTTTGTTATTATTTATTTCCAGATGGACAAACACCGGAATTTCTGCCTGACATTCCTCCTTGTGCTGTTGATCCGCACACAACTGGGACACGCCTGCAGGACATCCGAGTTCTCATGCCGCGGACCCAACGGACTCTGTCTGCCACTGGACAAATACTGCGATGGCAAGGACGATTGTGGCGACGGCAGTGACGAGCCGAAGTTCTGCACTGGTGAGTTCCACCCCTTGCACCCCAAATCCGAAGGCCCAAGCGAAACTTTTCCCACGAATAAACAGTGGGAAAATATTATTTGTGCCCCGGACAGAGAGAGAGAGAAATCCAGGCTAATTTTCACCCTCGTAGTCGGACTAATCCAAAAAGAGAGGAAACAACTTTCTTGGGGACTGGAGAAAAGGCGACACGGAATCTTTTTCCGGTTTCTTTAGAGTCAGCACGGCGAAGCAAGCCCTCAGTGGATCTCTCTCGTGGGAAATCTCGGTCTCGTGTTGTGGGATTTGCGAAAAACTTTCACGTGATCCTCATAAAATGCTACATAATGCATTGCATGCACTTGGACAAAAGAGGTGAAATTGAAAAAGGACATGACAGAAATAGATAAATTGCATCAACATGATTTTCTGCCACACAAAAGCTACCAGATGACAGCGCACTGTATCAAATTCCATCACCAGAAACTTATGTTCGTTTTTGAGCGCGGAGAAATAGACACATCACGCGTCGCGAAATTCCCTGTGAAGGCAAGAAGAATGTGTTCAACACAGGCGTGTTTTGCCAAATTAGCGTTAAACCTAATAAAACCTCTCACACAAATATGTATTCAGCCCTTCAGGTGCGTGACGATATTTCGTGCTCAAGTGGTGAGCACTATATTGTCTGCTACAATATTGCCATCCTCAATATTGTGTACCCTCTTTCCCGTCCAATTCACCTTTATTCGCCCAGTGATTGGAATCATCACATTACGTTAATAGGAATTGTTGTTTTGCCAACACGAATTTACCTGCCATTGTTGTGATACATTATATTGCTATGCAATCTTCTATTGTAAATTCACTTTTGCGAAGAAATTGTATAGTTGTGAGGAAGACTAGGAGAATTTTCGGTCTATCTTCATTCTAAATCTCCTTCAATCGAAGCTTCTCTGCAAATCTCTGTGAATAAATTGAGAAAACGATGAGATTCGCAATCAATAGAGTTTCTCGTTGAAGAGGAAAAGCTGCGTGATTGAAGAGATTGATATTTCTTCAGGATATTCTAATTTATTATTTCATGATGTTAGATTTTCCTGCATAATTGATTACTTCAGTGAATTGTGCTGAAGATAGCTCAATCTATTAACCAAGAATAATCCGAACTAAGAATATTTCCTATCATCGTTCCTTTTTTTTATTTTAAATATCTAACCACAAAACCTTCTTCGAACACGTTTCATGAAGGAGAATTTCTTTGCGCTGCTTCGACTCTAACGAGAGCCGTGTGTCTTGTAGGAGGGAAAACTCAATTTTCCGGTCCATTGTACTTTCCAACAACCATCACGGAGATAATCTCACATTTTTTATCCTTTGTCATATTTCCAACTTACATGTAGAGGTACTGCTATGGATACAGCATTACATAAATGGAGTATCACTCGAGTGGAGAGTTCACCCACCACTTGAGAATACCGTGCAAAGTTTCGGGTTATGCCGGGAAAAATTCTCTTACATTTCACGCAAATTTCTCACAAGTTGCCAAAACGAGTTTGCGGTGAAACCGGTGTGCAGAAAAAAAACACAACAAAAAGCTCAGAAATGCAATCATTGCTTCTGCCGCATATTCTACCAGACAACTCAATTAGTTTCGCTTCAGAACTTTGAGAAAGTGGTTGGAATGAACACAAAGATGATCATTTCACTGTTCCTTTTGCTTTACTGTGGATTTTTCAAAAATGCCATTGCTGGGAAATTGCATCCAGAAATTTGTACGAAATCTGGTTGCATTCGTGGAGTTTTTGTCAGTGAAACGACAAAATCTTACGAGGCTTTCTATGGCATTCCTTATGCTGAACCGCCAGTTGGAAAACTAAGATTTGAAAATCCCGTGTCGCATCGCGGCTGGTCAGGATTCTGGGATGCTTCCTATCCAAGGGAAGTTTGCATACAAAAGAATTACTTCCTGGCAAAAGAGCCGATCGTAGGCTCTGAAGATTGTCTCTATCTTAACATATATCGACCAGCGAGCGATAGTGAGAAAAATCTGCCGGTTTTGGTGTTCATTCACGGTGATGGATTTCTCGCCTTCTCATCCGATCCTGGCTTCCTTGGTCCGGATTACTTCATGGCTAATGGACAAGTGATTCTCGTGACTCTGAACTACAGACTTGGCATGTTCGGCTTCCTTTGTTCAGGAGACGCGGCTGTTCAGGGAAATTTCGGCTTCAAGGATCAGCAACTGGCATTGGAGTGGATAACACTGAATATCGCATATTTTGGTGGTGATGTCAATGCCATAACCCTCGCTGGACACGGTGCTGGAGCGGCTTCAGCCAATTTGCATATGTTAAACCCAAAATCTCAAGGTTAATGCACTGCAAATTCTCTTCATGATCTCGTATCTCACATGGCCGCTTCACTCTTTCAGAACTCTTCCATCAAACATTCCTTTTGAGCGGCGTTGCTTTAGCTTCTTGTCTTTTGCCTGTCGATTGTGCTCAGCAATTTCGCCAGTGTGCAAAATACAGTGGAATTAAAGATTGGAACACTGCCTCCATAGACAATCTGGCTGAGCAATTGAAGAAAATTGATGACTTGAGACTCATCTTGGCTGCGGATGAACTTTTCGTCTTCCCAGGAATTCCGATCACAACTTTTCGACCAGCCCTCGAAGGAGACTGGCAAGGCGCTTTTATTACAGAGGATCCTCGTCAAGTCTGGACTGAAGGAAGATTTCCACACAAACCCATGTTATTTTCCTTCACATCTCACGAGGGAATAGCTGAAGCTAGATTCTTCATGAACGACACCGTATTGAAGGCATACAATCGGAACATCCTCACATTGCTTCCACAGCAACTAGATTTTGATCCAAGATATGTAACTGACGTCATTGACTTCTATCTGGATGACAAATATTACGTAGACAATTCGAATATGGCAAGATATTACGATGTAAGCATAACCACATAGATGAGAGATTACATTTTCATCATTTTCATTCCTGTGTATTTGCAGATGTTCTCGGATAGACTATTTCGCTATCCAATCTTCACAATGATCAAACAATATCTTAACTATGTAGATGTGCAGAAAAACCCTGTTTATATCTATGAATTTGAATTTGAGGTACAGTTCAGTGTCGGAAAAGTTTACTCAATACTAATCAAGGCACAATGTTTTAGAGCTCCTACACTTTTCTTAAGTTTCTCACTGGCGAAGACATCAATTTGGGCGTGAGTCACTTTGATGACCTGATGTATCTCTTCAGCATGCCATCATTCTTTCCACCATTTGCTGGCGATTCCCCCGAGAGCAGAATGAGTGAAGTGCTCATAAGGACAGTAGTGAATTTTGTTGCGAATAAGGAGATAAAAGTGTGGCGCACCTTCAAGCCCTGTTCTATTCTCACATCCACACCTTTCTGTGAGCGACAGTGTTTCAAGAGATACAGTCAATTGGATCCTAATCAAGTGGTTGTCTCGGTGTCTAATAAAATTGATGTGGAAATGGTAAAACTGTGGACTTATATTGACAATATGGGATCGAATCCATAACACAGTGTTTATAGGCATGAATAAATGATATAAAATTCAGTGGAATGTCAAGATATTCTTCATCACATTGAAACTGCTGGGAAAATTGAGTCGCAATCAACAAAACGATAAGAGCATTTTACTATAATTGCATTCAGAATTCATCTCTCAATTTTAGGGACTAAAATGTATCTCTAGGAAAAATTCATGCAGAAGTGAAAAATAGGAAATTTTCACCTCTATATCTTCCCTGAAATTTGAACCATCGCTGTGACATTTAGCTCTTTTACCACGCATGAGGGTGCGACCCAAAGAAATACGGGCGCAGAGAAGCATATTAATTGCAATTTGCTGACTGCTGGAAAAAGTGTCGTGCCTTGAAAATCGCTGGAATCGGTAAAATTCGATACACACACTTTCATTTCGCCATCGAGCGGATGAGCAATGTGGCAATATCATGGCTAAAGTGCGAATGTGGGCTGGATGGGAAAAAGTGCTCTATATAGAAGCTCGCATTGGTGAGATAAACATGTAGAAAACACAGCTCCCCATTGTTATTTGTGACAGACAATGCGGTGTTCAAGGGTTGGCGAACCCCATTCTCACACCCAGCGTCGCAACATAAAATTATGATATACCCTTCAATCGCTCCGCATGAGGAATGTGTATTTAGGCCTGGAAGAACTGGTGCGAAGAAATTTGCTCAGAAAATGGCAGCTGAAGGTGTCTCTCGAGCTCCTCCGTGGCATCTTGAGGCGAAGGCGCTCGTGGTGAGATGCTATCTGATTTTATGCTGTGTGATTTTATGGTTGTGTCCCAAAACATTGTGGCGGAATATTCCTCCCCATAAAAGGATTTCAATGTGCCACGAGAGAGTCACTAAAGAGTGTCTGCTGAAGTGAAATTTGTGCCTTAAATTAGTTATAGGCCATGATTTGCAGGGTGGAGTCGGAAAGAGAAAGAATCATGCCAATAGTTTTCCAATACAGTTTATCAGTCATCTAATCTAATATTGAATCTAAATAGAGAGCAGAATGAATGGAATGCCGAGAGAATCGATATTGCGAAGCTGAATATGTGTCACTGCAAAATACACCGCCGCAGAGAGATTAAGAAGAGGTCTGAAGGCAGAGTTATCCTGCATATTAATTTTGTTGCTAAATAGCAACCGTTAACACCCTTGGAAAATCCCGGATTTTGGGTCATTCTTCAGCCGACTTCCTCGACCTCTTTTCATCGCCAACATTAACCCTTTGGGAAAATCACTCTTCCGCAGGCGCGAGAAGTTCCAACACAAGACTTTAAGAGCTTTAAGTTTTGAATTGGAATCAAAGAAAAAGCAATGTTAGTCCGAAGTGTCTCTGTTCGGTTATGGTTAATTGCTGAAAACTATTCACAATGCAAGAAGAGCACGAATTTTAGTATAAATTTAGTATAGTCTGAAAGCTCTCTCTCTCTCTCTCTCTCTCTCTCTCTCTCTTGGAAACTTCCAAAGCGATCAGGATTTATTTGCTTTTATTGAACTTTCTCCAAACTCACAACTAAGTTGAGGGTGTCTCTGAAAGATTTTGCACAAAATGTGGGCAAGATGAGTTAAAAAAAAATCCATCTTGAATGATCGACATTCACTTCATTAATTCACACAGACGGCTTTCCTCAAGTTGCAAGTCGTGGCGTGTAATAAATATTTCGAAATCAATTGCATGAGAAATTCTCTCAAAATGCTCCGTGATTTCTTGCTACCCACTCTCCATAGTCACGCTGCTTTGAAACTTTGTATTCGTCTCACATTAAATTGCAATATGAAAAGTTGCTCGAGGACCCTAAATAAGGGGAGCATATTGAAGGAGACGGGTGAAAATTTATGGATGGAAGCGAAACTTACATTAATGCTCAATTATTGCATCTTCCCGCCATGCTAAGTCATAAAAATTCACTTTGATCACAATTTAATTTGACATATTTACGTGAAGTGAATTCCGCTGAAAATTCACCCTCTCTGACTTCCACCTTCCTACATTCGATGCACAAAATGCTCTCTCCATTTCCTCAAAAATGCACACTGCTGAAAATTCAATGGAAACGCGCATTGCTTTGGATTTCAGAGTGCAAATATCCAAAAATATAAATACATGCTACTTTCTGACCTGCTGCAGTTGATAAACTCACATGAAACTCGCATTAGCGTTATGAAATAGGAGAAAGCGGGGTAGTTTCGAATGATAATCGACATTTTTGCATAGAATTGCTTCGTTTTTTTTTTGCTTTGATTTACAATTATGCAATGCCTGATGCCAGTGAAATAGTTTTTAACTACATGAAATTTTTTGGACAAATTTGTGCCAGGAATTTGTGTCCATAATTCGCCTCACACGCACACATGAATTATTTCATATTGTGCAATAAATTGTTATAAATTTTGCATTTGTGAGTATGAAATATTGATTTAATTTTCCACGCGACACATCGATAAAATTAATTTAATACAATTTTGTTAATTTCAATTCTTAATTGCAGAATGAGATGATCAATGGAAAAGTGCGAAGAGTCACGAGGGCAATTTATAGTCGCATTATAAAATTGATTATTTTGCAAATTATGCATGAAAAAATGCTGATACATATTTAAATCACATGCAAATACCTTTGAAAGAGATTAATTAATTTATAATATATTGCAGTAAATGTGAATCCATTTTGATCAATATTTAAGTGTAATGATTCGAAATATTCCAAAAATTTTCCACTCTGACATTTATTATTATCACTCTGAATAAAAGTATGAGTCTTTTGATTAAAATTTAATCACATCAGCTTTAAATGGTCATTACTTTTGACTTCTGAATAAACCATTTTTCAAGACTTGTAACTCAATTGCAGCATGTTTGGGCATGGCACAAAATATTTTCACCTGAGGGACAAAATGGGCCAAACTCGGTGTGCTTTGTGAAGCGCCAAACACGCGGGCGCCAACGTAAAATAATTCACAGCAGAAATAATTTATTTACAACCCCCAACAAAAGTGCAATGTATACAAGAATCATCATCAAATCCCCCAACCATAGTTTTGTCGTTAGTTCAGCGTGTAACTTTTGTGCCTCAACATTCAGTTAGTGGGCGAGAGCTCCACTAATAAAATTATACAATAAATAGCAAACATCCCTTGAGGCTTAAGTGCGGTGGGATCGATTTGTCGTAAATTGATTAGCACTATCGGAGCTGTCGAGCATCGCACACATGTATGAAATCCCTTTCATCTCGTAGCCACTCCCACGAGCCCAATCCACCTTCAGTTTCAGTGGTCCTGGCGTCTCATTTCTCTCACCACATTAACCATAATATCCTAAATTTAATTACATAAAAGCATCGCACAGAGCTTTCGGTCTTCGCGTCCAATCGCACTGGGAGAATAAATACGACAGCATTCCTGATCCGGTCTATCCTAATGCAGGCGTAAATAAAAGATGAGCCATCTTAGAGGGAAAAAATGGCATAAATAATAAATGGACGCAATCACGGTAGAGGAGAAGCGCTGGAAGAGGAAATGTTGAGCAATACAAAATGCGATAAAGGCTCCATTGATTCGTGAACATACATAGTTGCATACATACAGTATCCAGATTCTGCCAATGGACGTGAATGATCAATACAGTTTTCACTTGGCTGCACCTCAAAATGCATAAATTACGCTCTCCTTCATATTTCATGTAGTGCAATATCCTGTCAGAAATAAATTTCGCCAAATGAGATTGAATAAGTCCTAGGTGCTGAGCAAGAAAATCTAGCCAATCTCCTGGACAGAATGTGAATGGCGAGGCAGGGTGAGAAATTGCGAAATTATCCAATTATCTATTTCCACCATTTTATTGTAATTGCATGACTCTGTCGGTTTATTTTCACTGAGCACGAAACACCCGTGATTTCACATTCAGGATAACAGAGTGACTGGATAATGAGCTAATTTTCATTTCAAATTATTTCATTATATTTAATACAATCTCCCGCTGCAGCTTTTTTTATGTGTGCCCAATTGGAGATTTTCATGGAAATTATGTGCGTGAAGCGTTAGCTAATATGCATATTTTTCGATAAAAGCATATATAAAAAAAAGTATCAATTTTCCCTAAAGAGATATTTTGCATATACACTTTTTTTCAATTTTTCAGCTTAAATTTAATAATAAAGCGAAATGGTTTTAGCAAACGAGACGATATATTTAGCATACAACATTCTAACAAAAAAATAATAATTCTATTCACGGCCTTGTTCGGCAACAGTGAAAGCTGTTGAAATATTGAAAAATAAACAGAATATATTTTTAGATATGAAATCAAGAACTTTTCTACGGAACATTCAGGAATCCATCTTTGTATTTTCAGTTAGGAGGCTCAATTTTTGATGAATAATTAATTCACTTTATCTGCTATTTTACTTCTATTTGTCTTCACTCATCCACTTGACCTAAATTGACTTTCATCTGCTGCGAAATGTCGAAAGTCGTATTCTGCTGCGAAAGAAACTTCATGAAGAAGAAAACGGCTATTTCCGACATTTCAATATGTCTGCGCGCTTCTCCACGTTTTGTTGTGCAAACAAACTTGCACGATCTACAGCAAATATCGTTCGGAATGGAAAGCATGAATTGGCATCATTGACTTGGCATTTCACACACCCCCAGTCAGGGGGGTGAATCGCGTTTTTGGGCCCCGACGAAGCGTTTTTTGAAGACCACTGCAGGGAAAATGAATGGGACAACATAAGAAATAGAATCTAATCAATGCTATGTTGTGCTTTGAATAAAACACATATAAATATGACTATCAGACACTTCTTATCGTGAAATTTATGACACTACTTTATCTTCATTACACCCACTTAATGTCGGCGTGAGGTTTGGGCAGATGACGTCTGTGCGCCCGCGGGGAAGGCGGAACCTCGCGTTCATCATTGCGGGAATGAAAGAAAAAAAGAGATATTTTCCACCCCAGCTCGCACTAATAAATAAAGTCACATTATTTACCACTGCTGCGTTGCTAAAATAAATTTCCACACAAGGAACTCTTGTATCTTGGCACGTCCGGGAAGTCATCTCGCGCGGGATTCAAGATTCCTGTGATTCACGTGCGTCTCTACCAGCGTTTAATGGTAATTACGTTACGCGATCTGCACTTTTCGTACTATTCTTTACCTCAAATGGACTTTAAATTTAGCATTTATCCTGCTAAAAATTTCCCTCAACATTATTACAAATCAATCAGTTATTATAAATACATAAGTAAACACATGACATAACGCAGAGAGGATATATTTGCTGACCCTTCATCCTAATAGCTACTGAACAACCCCTATTCCTGTATCCAATCTCAGGCTGAGGCAATTATGTGAATAATGGAAGGTGTTGGGATACTTATGAAGAAGTGTGAACCCTCGCACTTACCATGAACACGACAGTGTGAAAGTCTCAAGGCGACCATCAAGCCTGAAAGGTTGTGGGACAACGACCAGCATCATAGACTAAGAGGGCTGAATACATAGGAATAGAATAAAAGTTGAAATATTAAATATTCTCGTCTAAATGTCACACACACACAGAGCCTCAGTTCCGAGTACCTTTTACGTGAGGGTGAGTGAAGATTGTGTAAAATTATGTTTACCCATAAAAGTGCTGGATACAGAAGCATCCACTAAAAGTGTGGCAATGTGAGATTGTCAAAGAGAAACTTTCACAACCTGAGCTTAATCAAAACACAGAAATTACAGATTAATCGCCATGTTGTTTGCCATCAAACAATTGGCCACTTTGGCGTGAAATAAAATTCAATGAGAGCCTGGAAAAGCTCTTGAGAGAAGCAGAAAAATATCATGTGAAATGTAATTTTGAGGTACAGCGAGTGGAGGAGGCGAAAGACATTTGGGGGGATTAAAACACAATTACAGAATACATTGGGGGAATTGTAAATTTGCCCTTCGCACAATTTTATGCTGCCGCGCGAAGAGAAATTGGCAGGAGAATTTTGTAACCAATGCCTGAAGGCTTTTCAGGCTGCTCAACAGTGGCATGACATAGAATCCGTTGAAGTGGAAATTTTTTTATTAAAAATCCATTAACGTATTGGCGCTTTTCATTAAGCAATACGACTCTGTGCGTTGGGAAGCCCGCGAATGCAGCCAAATGCATTTACTGTGCAATGGACATTTGATGTATTTCTCTATTCCCTCGCTAGCGCTGGAGCGTGTCACGAGTTCAATTCATAAGGGGGAAAGTCGGCGGAGAAATGGGAATATAAGAAGCACCACTTCGACATGTTTTAATTGCGATACATCTCAGAAGAGCGCGTCTGAAATTTTATAACATCCACCCGTGGCTTTTCAATTTTCTCCTCAATTAATCAATATTTCCTCTCTTTGCAGTGTGTAATCGCACCTACTATGGCGATGTGGGGCGAACGTACGCGCTGCGGGTGCCGCCGCCCCAGTGGAGCCGCTTGCCATTCCTCTGCCATCTCACCTTCACGGCGTCGGGTCACGACCAAGGTGACATAGTTCAGGTGAGTGAGAGGACTTTATCGGCACTCACATGAATTTCCGAGGCACACCCTCCGTGGCTTAGGCACGTCATGAACATGAGCACCGAAGGGTGTGTGCATTAAAGTTAAAATCATCCCTGTCTCCAACATCCTCATTAAATATTGACAGAAAAAGGAACATCGCCTCACCGCAGAGGTGAAAGCTTGACTTGTCTCTCTCTCTCTCTCTCTCTCGCCTTGCTGAATTCACATTTCATTTTCAGACACGAGAAATGTGTATAGCTATATTTTGAGAAATTCTTTAATTAAGAGACGCCCTAATCATTTTTAACTTTCTCATTGTGATCATCGTACTGAATGAATGTCGAAAAGCGATGCGCAAAGAAGATTTGAAAATAATACAGTCAGATATACATTTCCTCAGCACAATGAAAATCGAACACCAATGATCGCACACAATGGCGTATACAATTTCTGGCTCTCTTGCAAGCATTCATTTTTCACATGAACCAAAAACAATGCACACAGACAACCCCATTCCTTCCATCCACCCTTGTCAGATGCGAGAGAAGCTCTGAAGCTGCACAATATTAAAAGTTTCTTATAATACTTATAAGTGAAGCAAGAAAGCATCCATTCAGAAAATGGTGCAGACTTTTCAATGCTTCCCTTGCGTCACTTTTTTCCTCAATTCCCAGCATTCAGGATATTCTATTCTTGACTTCCTAATGAAATATTGAATAAAATTAGTGGTCAGTTAGAAAAGAAAACTATCCATTTAAATTGACTCAATGTTTTACCTGATAAAAATACTAAAGAAGAACTTTCTGTGTGCAATCAGCATTCAGATTCACCATTCAATGCAACTTTTATAGCATCCAATTCATTTTAAAAGGTGTTTTCCACTACAAAGTTTCTTTTCATCCCGCAGTGACAGATTTATGTGAAAAGTTTATTATCCAAAAGAAATTTTAGTGTCAGAGTTTTGTATAAATAAAACATATTAATTTGATTTTGCTTGTGGTATTTCAAGCTTTTCATTTAATTTATGGTTGAAAATCAGTTTTTGTCATCCCCTAAACAAATAAAAACCACCACAAGAGTGATTCTGAGCACTTCAAGCACGCATTAAAACACAAAAATTCCACAGCTCAATAAAGAGAATACCTAGGTTTTCACGAGGGTCAATTTTCATTCGTGCCAATGACAGTTGAGTGCGATCCTCTTAATGGTTCGTGGAAGAGCGGATATTGAAATAACAAATAAGATTGATAAATTCATAGAACAAACCACAGTCAATTGCAGTGGTGAGGAAAACATTATGCCACTGACACTGATGGAAAATAATTGATTTGACTCTCTTTGTTGAATAATTACCATAAATTCCTAAATCGAAATATACTTGATTTGAGCGCACAATTGGATGATATTACTGAAATTCATTATACCCATGTAGAAAATAATTCAATAGTGCCAAGAACATAATAAATGATGTAATGTACGTAATGAACTTAGCCAATTGGCACTCATTTGGCCGAATCGCGGAACACAATTAGCGTTAGAACACACATAATGGAAAATTATTGTTTTCCAATTAATGAATTATTTACAAATAATTTCAATATTGTGTCCATAAAGCACATAAATTGACCTTTCGCTGTGGAAATTGCTTTTAGAAATACCAATTTTCACACATTCACCCCTTCAAAAATTGCCCAACTCAGAGAGCTTTTTGGTGTGTGCTATGTTTAAAATACATATTTGCGCATAGCAATTCGCAATATTTCGCTCGCGTGTGAAATGTAAAATTTACATTCGAGTGACAACAGAACGAACAATAAAAATATCGTGTTAGTTTGAAAATTCGCTCACTGAAAGCTTGTAATGCAAAAAATATTTCTCTACGGAGTTTAGATATATTTTATTTTATTCCACCAGGGATTTTTACATTTTACATTGATGGCTTTATACCGCTGGAGCTTTTTCAAAATATCCCGGCGTTTTAATTAAAAGCGTATTTCTGCTCTTTACTTGGCAACTCAATTACCTGCAATTAGAAATGCCAACCAAGTGTTTCTGTAATTGACAGCTTTAAGCATCACTTGTCAGAATCAAACTTTACGGAATCTTGATATGTTGGTCTCAGCATAATTTTAGAATTTATGGGAGACTTGAAACAAAAAAGCATCAAAATGATAAATTGCTGAATAAGGAAAAAAAACTGAGTGAGAAAGCTTTTCCTGATATTCTCCGAGCTTCAACACTTTCGCCATAAAATTACTCTCACACAAATCAATTTTATGTTTATCGCTATATCGGATGCAACATAAAAAGCGTTTTAAAGACGCAAAATGTCAGTGAACGCGTACACACTGCGATAGCACAGAACTCGGCATTGGCAGAAGAGCGAGAGGAGAACATATCATGGCAGAACAATATCTTTTAATATTGCGGAAAGTAAACAGAGAAGAAAAATAAGATATTGGGAGATTGCAAAGGAAGTGAGAAGATGAAATAAAAGAGTGGAAATTCAGTGAAATTGCTCTCATAGAGGCCACCCTTCACATTTTTCTCTATGACACACATCCGCCCACCATGAACCCGTCATCTCTCCCCCGAGAGCTTAATATATTGTTTGACACCGCAAATGCCATCGCACCCTTCATGTACTCCAAACCACTGTCTATATGAAGATAAACAGGCAGTGTGAGAAATTCAAAAGTACACTGCACGAAATTGAGTTATCCGGTTGCGAAATAAATTGGGTTTAATCCTTTCATGACAGATGCTGCAGTCGTGTAGCCCAAAATATGTTATCCTTCTGGCACAAAAAGGGTTAAAATACTGATCGAAACGTATTTTCTCAAGGCATAAGTCATCCATTCATTTTAAGAAGTGTCTTTTTTTGTTGCTTTAATAGCAATACCAAATAATTAAGGAATAATTTCAACGATTTCTTAGGCAATGAAATCACTTGCGCTTTCCGTAATGCGTGTGAATCAAGAGTAAAAGCTCTGCAAACTCAAAGTTCGGAGTTTGAAAAGTATTGTTAGCGATGTGTTGTGATTTTTCCAAGTGTACAGTGGAGGAAAACGGAGTTAAATGAGTGATAAGCGGGTGGGCGCAGCCATAAGAAAATTGTGTGCCAACACACCCACCCGCACTTTCCCCACGCGCTCTGGGCCAGACAAAAAAATGAAAATGCGCCCAGAGTGTGCCGGAAAGGGAGATAAAGCTCTCGGTGGAGCCCAGAGACACGAAATAAATTTAAAATAACACGAATGTGTGAGGGGCGGTTTCGGTGTGGGTGGGCAAAACAAAAAAAAGCTCAGGGTTTGGTATTTCGGCGGGGGCCAAAATCTCGAATACACGCCGCTTTGAATGGTAAAAAAGGAGCTTTTTGATTAATTTCACCCAATTCTTCTTTGCAAGCTCTTCCTCCCGCCTTTCATCGCTCATGCTTTCTCTCTGGCGCGCTCAAAGCTGCGCTCCGTTGGGGTCCAGAGAGGCTCCCATCTATCCGTTTCCATTAATTATGTGCGGCACTCTTTTTTTATATATGTATTCCTGCACCATTCCCACACCGGCCGATGTGAAGCGAGAGGGTTTACATAATCCACGAAAACAGAAAACATATGCAATTTATTTTGCATTCCCCTGTATCCGGTTTTGGGATTAATTTATGGAACAACATGCTTTATGCATTACGATGGTTTCATTTTCGCTCACATAACACTCCATTTGTGTGTAGAATCACATCGGTTTGCGACCAGAAGTGGAAAAAATCTCCGCAAATAGAATTAAGTTCTCGTTTTCTCATGACATGCCCACATAAGTCTCGCCGCTTCAACTTGGGGATTATGCCAAATTAATTTATATTTATTTTAATCCCCAGAGACAGCGACTCTAGATCCATCTTGTGATTACCTGGAAAATGCCACACTTATCTTCACACGACTTTCTCTCTCTCTCTCTCTTTTCTACAGATTATCTTTGACGGTTTCTCCGTGGGACGCTTCGATGAGGGCCTGGTGGATGGCGATGGCGATACTCTGGAAACCAGCCTCAGTCCATCGGGAGAACTTCCCGGATGTCCTGAGGGATTTATGCAGGTAAAATTTACTGCACGCGAATTTTCATCCATCCACAAATTTCATACAAACTCTCTGGCATACACATTGTTAGAGAGTCTGTGTGGAGCCAATTAAAATACTTTATGCTCTCCTACATAGTTTCCATGGGGGAGTTTTACATATGAGAATTTTCACTAGTCTCTCCTGCCCATTGTGCCCACCAATTCATTATCTATTCCCCTCTCGCATCTGTGTACGATTTTTAACTTCTTCCAGTGCTCTTAAAAGGCAACCTCCAACCGAAGTAACTCACCAAAAATCCTGGTCTTTGTTCTGACTATCAAAGAGTCCAACATAATTGCACTTCTCAATTCAATTGTGGTTGCCAATCGAACAATAGCAGATAGTCTGTGATTATGGGATAACATTTTGCTGGTAATCCCGATTCGTTGCTTTCAGCACTGATGCGTCTCAGGAATGGATAAGCAAAAAAAGTGAATAACAAAGCTTATTGTTGGGAAATAATTTGATCCATTTTCCGCTCTAAACGGAAAGGAATTCAGCACTTGATAAAAGTCATTTGAAATCTCATAACATCGATGCAATTAGTGCAAACTCAATTCCAAGTTAATCCGGAATCATAAATGTATGTCGTGAACATCTAAGCAAAACATGTTATTGAGTTCTCAACTCAAACGATATCAACATGAAACTCAATCAACTAATTTAACTTGAGAGCGAACGAAATAAAACCATTATCAACTTAAAATTCATGTTTTCGTGAGTGCCTCAGAGCGATTAGAAGAAGAAGAAAAAAAAATAAAATTTTTTGGACATTTGCAAAAACAAGTCACACTACAAAGTGTGTATAAATAGCAGAATGCCACAAACTAGCCTCTTGAAGGCAACTGGAATTGAAGACACGATCTTGGTTGAAGGTGAATGTCTGAAGCAGCATTTTCCCTCGGGTCACATCTCAATTCCACCCCTTTCCAGGAGGGGGTAAGATGAAGAAAACACACCCAGTGAGAGAGAAAAATTATTGAGAAATACCCAGTGTCACGTTTTTCACAAGTACATTCCAATTGCTTTCACTTGCGAATTTTCTCCTTGTGTTACCTAACATGAGAGGTGAAAAACCCCTGTACAATTCATCTCAAGTGCGCTGAAAGGCAGAGAAGTCTCTACACACATTTCTTTTGGCTTAAATCGAAGAAAATCTCACGTTGAGAGAAAGTTCAGGCCACCGTTTTGCTCCTTTCGCTGCGCACTAAGAACACTTCACGGGGCGGCCATTGAGAATTACGTGTGCGGTTGAGGTTGTTTTTGAGTAAACAGGAAATCTTGCGCTTTATTTTACAGCTCAGCGAACTGGGACGCCCTTTCACTGGTGGTTCATGGTGTGGCTCAGCTTCCGGACATCAGCTGTACTACAGCGAGACAGCCACAGTAACAATAACAGTCAAGGTGAGAGCCAATCTCCTGAAAAAGTTTCAAATCTCGCAGCAGATTACATGACGCCCATCCTATCGCTCCTGTATCTTTCTTCCTGTTGACGCTGATCGATTTGCGTCATGCGATTGACGCCATACAGCATGGCGAACGCACATTTGGCAGGATGAAGTGATAAAAATTTACATAACAATAAATTCTCAACACATTCCACTCGGGAAATGTTTGTTGATTGCAGCCAAAGTCCGGACCAATGTTTTTTTTTCAGGTTATTGCCCGTTAAATATAGTATAGGTGAATTTATATTTAAAACTCAGTGAGATACTCATTAGAAGCTTTTTGAAATCAATCCAAAAAGCTGCATATTTGTGCACTTTTTCTATCCATTTTTCCTCAAATAAATCCGTAATTTAATGAACTCAAACTTTAACGAAATCAATTCACATGCATGGCTATTTTTATGACGCTCTCATCTGCTACACTTAATTGCCCCAATTCTATGTACATATTCTGTACATATGTGGGTCAGTTTTTATGCCCAATTCAACACACCAAATTGCAGTCATTGTGTTCAAAAGGATGCTACTCGAATTCAAAAAAAGGGCTTCTGAAAAAATCCCAGAGAGAAATTACAGATATTCAACGAAGCCTGTAATGATGGAAGTTTAATGTGATTATCACCAACCATGCTGGCCTTTAGTGTGGTGAATTTGAAATGTATGGCAAACGAAAGACTGTCCATCGCTATTTGCATCATATAAATCGAAGCAGGAATCAATATTTGGCAATTTGCAATATCCAAATTACTCCTGAATATTTAAATACACTTTGAAGCTATGGTTTACTTTGCAGCTCTTTTACTAATGCAAACTGCGCCAACAATAAATTTATCCAGTGATTTCACAGGGAGACAAAATAGCACACAGTAAATAAACACACTCACTTAACATTGCTGAATTATTTATCAATTGTTATATCGCTCTACCGGTATTGTTCTTTGATGTGAAAATTTAATATCGAGAAACCACATGAGAGGTAATTATGGATTCTTGTGTGTGAACTTGTTCATGCATACAATAATTCTACCATAGTTGATGCATCAAAGCAATTTCGTTACATGAATTCTCCCAAGTATGTCACAACTTTGTGACAAAGAACATCAGTTTTGCTTTAGATATTAAAAATATAGCATTCTAACATATTTTTGCAGGTCAAAGCATGAAGTTTGAGAAAATATTTTAGTCGGTTTTCCCATTCTCATTGAACACGATAGAAAATTATTCTGACAATCCAAATATTATACACTTCAAATTTCCATCAATATAGCCTGTGTTGTTTTCCTCTTTCCTCCATTGCAGCATTACCAACAATAACAAAGTGTTCTCCACTGTGCATTTCCTCTCCGAAACTGTTTGGGAGTTCGTGCATAAACATAGTCGAAGAGACACTTTTGTAGGAAAGCATGTCCGTTGATAGAATTATCAGTGTCAAATTTGAGGGAAAATTTTGTGAGAAATTGGCTGCTGGAAGAAAACAAGTTGCGATTTTGATTGCATAAGAGGGGAAATTGAGGCGAGGAGGACAAGTTTTCCATCGTGCAATGAGGCTTATTGTTGTTACTCCACTCCATCAGAGCCATATCTCGAATATTATGAGTATTGTTATGAAAGTTTATATCCTGAGAGGATCTTCTGCCATTCCGTACCATGAAGGACTTCCTGTGCCCGTCCATGGCAAAATCTGAGATGTGCAATCTCTCTGCCATTGCCGTAATGAGAACCTCCAGCTTGCACACTCAACGCTATGTGGGTTTTTGATAACAAAGAGCTATACACACACTTGCAGTGCATTAGATAGACCGTGTCTATGCAAATTGCCCCACAGAAATCCACTCCTCAAGACAGACTTCCGACAGCGACGTGTGTATTATGTTCTATGAATGACGAAAATTTCAATTTGAACTTCTCAATAAGATTCATGAAAAAAGTTTGACCGGCAGCGACGGAAGCAAATTGAGTAAATCTTTTCGCCAAAAATCATCGCACTTCCACTTCTGCAGAATTGTCAAGACTTTAAAAGACGACGTTTTAGAATAATCTTGAACACTGTACAAATGTCTAATGCTTATGTTTTAGAAACAGAAGAAGACAAAACTCAGATAGTGAAGAAACCATAATTTAAATAGAAAATCAATATTATTATAAGAATGCAAAATATTAACCACACTTATAAAAACATTTGTTCTCTAACCAAAATTTTAAAATAGCGAAAGCTGGTCAAAACCATAAAACTTTTACCATGAAACTTTTTCATTCTCTCTTCAACTTATTTGCATTTTTAATTGAAATACAACCCCCAAGTGTATTGTCTGAGATTCTGGCGGAACTTTGCAGTTTAAAATTGCGATAATTGCAAACGAGTGCCATAATTACAACTGCCATGGTTACTCCAAATGTTCTGGAATTCAAAAAGTTACTAATTAATCTCAAATAAGCACAGGATAATTCCTCAATGAGATGCAGAAGAATGTTGAGCTGGCGCGTATTGGCGCTGTCCGAAAGTTTTGGTGAATGTTGAAATGCAGAATCCGTGGTCGGCGAGTTATGTAACCTATGTGCAGCATTCAGATGACACATTTTTTTGCCACACTCCATCTCAGCTGCCCTGGACTAACGCAGAATCATGCAAAAAGAGGCGGCAGACTGAGGAGCGCCCAAAGAAGGGAACTGCGCCAAGAGGAGATGAATTATGATCAGCTTTTATCCTTTAACTTTTTCTATGTTTTCCTCTCCATCTGGACGCGGACGCAGCACAATATTAGTATTCATTCCGTCACGCTTCCCGGAGCAAGTGGGCTCCGTGTTCCGGGACGCCAGGTGCTCCCGAGAGACGAGGTGTGGGGCAGTCGAAGCTATCTGGCACTGAGTCTGCAGATAAATGTGCATCTCCTGTGCCGAGACGCCCCTGCGCAATTTCCAAATTTCCCCCCGAATCCATAAACACAACTGCACTCAGAGTCTTCCAAATCGCGTTTTCAGAGAATTTGATTGACTGGCTTCTTCTCTCTCAATTGTTGCAGGTTTTCCATCCGCCGATGCAAGGAAATAATCCGTTTGAGTTTCGCATCCGATACAAATTCATAAGTCAATCAGACGCCATTGTTCGGTGAGTATAATCACGCACAAAATAAACGTTTTAAGGCACTAATCCATGGGCAATTAGAGTAAGTCATATCGCATAAAATGAAGGATTAAGTTAAGAGGAGTTTATCATTTAGCATTCTGTATTTGTCTACAGATTTTGCAAAATTTCACTGAATAATGTGAATGCAAATTGAGATGAAATATTCAGGATGGATTCAGATTAATCCGAATTCTCTTTGACGAAGTTTCTGTTGTGCACAAAATCCGATGCGATCACATTTGAAAAGATATCGATGCGAATGGGGAAAATCAACAAATTCAAAATTCCCGCGAAAACGCATTGGGGCGTTAAAGAAAACTCCATTTATTCGCGAAATTCGTATGTAATCAGACAAATTTGTATTGTAGTCTGTTTGCCAAAGACATGTTATATCACGTCACGTATCTCATCTCTGTTTGCCAAAACATATTGCAGCCACACAGTCTCTTCTATTATCAAGGTAAATAAATAATTAGTATGGCAAACAGTGTGAGCAACATATTGATTTTCAATTAATTCATTTGAAGACTGACTGGGGGTGAATTAGTCAAAATTATTCATCGTCTGATGGGGCTGAAACGAGCGGGGTGGGCGAACTCTGCGGGGGCGGCGGAACCTCATGAGGAATAGTACGAGAGCGATGTGAGAGCAATTTAGTATAGGTACTCCATATAGTTCATCCATTTCTATATTCCGATCACGTCTCCTGTTCTTTAGACTACCCGAACTCCTTCCAAGGCGCCTTGCCCGAATCCTTGCGCACTTTTAACTAAGATACACCCACACGACGCAAGATGGTGTGAGCTGGGATCCTCGAGGAAAGGATTTGTAGAGCGCCAAATTCCATGTGAATCCCGTATGATTCCACCACATTGATAATATAAAACTTTTTCACTTGCTCTTTATTAATTCTGGGTGGGATTCTCCAAATCTTCAACCATTCATGATTTCAACACGCAATTTTGGTCCCTTTTCTCTGCCCATCTCGGACGCAACTTTTGAATTCACCCCTCGTTCGGCCACACTCTCGAGACTCTTGAGAATTTTTGATTTTGACACCGAACATCTTCCTCCCCGCGTCACCCGTGCGGCCGGAAGATCGGACAAATAATAGTGGGTGGAAAAACAAAAGCAATATTCACACTCCACGCCAAATTTATTTCACACTGACTAAAGTACACATTCAGAGTCAACTCATCAAATATTGATCCCTGACATTCTCTTTTTCACCCCAAAAAGCCTCCATCTTTCATTTCATCCCGAACTGTGGGGGAGAGGGAGGAATTTCCATGCCACCCCGCCTGAAAGCTCAATCGTTCTGGGGTATTTTTCGTTTGTGTGCCACTTATTCAGAGAATGTAGAGCACAATGAGCAGAACAAATGAGGAGACTTGAGTCTAAGAATATACTGAGCACTTCCTCAATAATAAATGAACCTTTCATTTATATTTTAGAATATATCTCGTTTGAAATTAAATTAGGAAATTATAAGCCAAGTTATAAGCTTTAAATTGAGTTTAAATTAAGTTTTCTAATCAAATCCGATGGAACACTCAGAGAAAATTCCCCAATTTACAATAAGATAGTCTTCAATTTTGAATGAAATTTGCACACTTCCGCTTAGGATTTGCTCTGAGTGCATGAGTTCCTGTAGTTTCGTGATTAATGGAATTTTCAATGCAATGAATATATTCCCCTAATACTCGTCGATGAAATTCAATAAATTTGTAGATACAAGCTCAAATATGAGCAACACAGAGACGAATGCTGTGCTAACCAGCAATTTGAGCGTTCCACTTCGGGTTGAACTTATTGATTGTCGGAGTGAATGAATAAATGTAGAACTGTGTGCAGAACGGCATAAATTCTGGGTGGCTATTTTACCCATGACCTTAATTTGGAGGGAGCCGCGAAGGCAGACGCTCGGACGACAAATGGAGGGTCCTTGCTGTTTTTCACACAATCAGAGTTATTGCCACGCTGGGCGTTGCACACGCCAACTCTCATGCACGTTCGGCGTGTAAAATATAGTTCTGTGCCCCTTTGGAAGCTCTCAAAGTCACTCCATTCACTAATGCGCCCTGTGCATCTCTCTTTCAGATATGGGGCGCCGAGTGAACTTCTGGAACTTGGTCAGGTCACGCCAGGGACGTACTGCACGCGGCAGTTCGACGAGTGCTACAGAAAGAAGTGTCGTCTCCAGAGTCCCAATTATCCGGGAATGTATCCCAGGAATGTGACATGCTACTGGACAATTAGGCAGAAGACTGTGCCAACATGCAAGCACGCCATGATTGGCGTCAGTCAGGAGAGTGAGCACAAGGCTCTCGTTAAAAGGTCGGTTGTCTCTACCCACAATTTATGTACAAAGTCAGGATATTTTATCTCACAACTCACACAAAAATCTCCACACTTTATGGCTGCACTTTTGACCCAAGCAACGCAAACAAATCCTAATGTGTTGGGATCAGTCATAAACAATCATTTTCATCCTATAATATGAAATGCATGATGATTGCATGCAAATCAAAAACACTCCCATATAACATTCCCTTTTTGAGGATATCACTCAATTTATTAATAAATGGAATTTTCAAAATTGACTTTGATTGATTTGACGGAATTTGAAATAAGAATTGAACATGCAACGATGCTCTGGATTATCCAACACTCATTCTAAATGGAATATCATGTCAACTCTCATAAGTCCCATGTCTAAAGAAGACTACTTTGCACAGTATGGATTTTCTTGCGGAAAAAGCTCAAGGAGCAGTCTAACCGGAAGTTTATTTTGCAGGTCAATAGCGAGCTTAAACAAGACATCACGGTCAGTGAGAGCATGGTCAGACTGCACGGGCGAGAGGGATCATTTGATATTTTACGACGGCAGCTCCACAAATGACCCAGTTTTAGCCAAATACTGCGGGGGCGACTGGCTTCCTCGCGTCGTGTCACGGTGAGTTGCCCTCTTGTGTACGCTTGAACTTCCAACTGGCCCAGATTTATGGTAACTCCGGGGATTTATAGCATTTCACCGGCGACTCAATTGAGTCATCGATTAAACATGCTCGTCCCTTTCGGCTCTTCCTTGTCTTCCTTTCTTTCGCTTAGTCAACTGTTTGCTCGCATATGAACTCACATATCATATGCACATCGTGCAGTACAGCATTAATTAAAACTCGTGGTGAATTGCTCTTCTGATGTCCTCTGCAAAAGCCAGTCATGACTGAAGAGTCATATTAGTGATTTCGATTTTAGATATTCCACTTCATGACCATTTTATGCTACTTTTATGTCTTCTTCTAAAGTTTTCTTACCCATTTCACTTTATGCTCATCCATTGAATTCACTGCAAATTGCATTACAGCTCAGATCCCGAAGTGAGACAAGGTGATTGTGGCCCATAGTCGAGAGGAATTCAATAAAAAACCCATGTTTCAAAGCACTTTCGAGTCAACACAGACTTTGCTCGTAAAAGCTTATCATTAGTCCTCAATTTGCAATGACCTCAATTAATTAACACAGTAATTTTGCTGTATAATTGCGCAGATAGTTTCAGGCCTTGGAATAAATCTCGTGTCAGAACTTGAATATGTTACTTTCCACATCCCCTCTTGCGGGATTGAAATGGAGTAGAATAAGAGCGCAAAAAGCTATCTCAATCAATGTGTTTCAAGGGGAATTCCAGGCGATTGTTCAGAAATTCAAGAAGAGAGAATTCAAGTCTTCGAGGATTACAAGTTTTTCTTCCCATCCATTCGCAAAGGTTGAATTTTCCTCTCATTGCACATTAAAGTTTTTCCGTATTAAATCCATCAAACGGCTATTCCCTATTCTTTTTCACACTTTATTCTCTCTTTCCGTTTGTCATAAGATAGAGAGAATTTTTCCCTTCTCACGTATCATTTCCATCTGGGAATTAAATGGCAGAAAAAAAGAGGGAAGACAGAGAGGATAAAAGAAGCCTTTTCTGCGTTTCATCATGCAGAAGAACTGCATTCGCAGTCAGCTTGAAGATTTCTTTCGTCTCCAAGCGAGAGGCCATAATAAAACCACACCGACAAAGTTGAAAGTCAAACTTTTCGCTCTTTCCACCTCACTCTCATCGTTTTCCAAAGAATTACACATTTCAGTTGTTCCTTTTCAATGCAAAACTTTGTCCTCACCCAAAATATATAGAGCTTTGAGAAAGTATCTGCACCGCTTATCTTAAACTATTACGCCGTTCAAATTCTAACCAAAATGTATACATGATTTCATCGTCGAGAGTACAAAAGTGCAACTAAAATTGAAGGTTTATACATACGTATATTGATAATCAATAATTCTCGAATTTTCTCATACGTTTAATGTGAGTAAATTACGACACATGCATAAATACAAATGAAGATAAGCAGAAGTTGCACTAAAATCTTCTTGTTTGGACTGAATGTGGATGCCCAACGCCCCAAACACCCACTCCACAGTCACTCCAACCCTAATTTGTCACTCTCTGACCGAACCCTGCCCTGATTTGTATGCCCTGGAAGTGTGCAACACAAGATGAGACACCTGTTTCGCACACAGTGTGGGTGTCTCATCCGTAAATCGGTTTATTTATCAAATGTGCCGCCCTGACAGACTCATTATGCAACATGGAAGGCATGTCCCAAACGTCTCTCAAATATTAAGCGGCCATTCAATCGAAATCAATTGTGCTGAGTCGAATGCTGGGGATGTGGAGGAAAGTATTGTGTGTCAGAGACTCAAACTGATAATTTTCCTCCTCTTTGCAGGGGCTCCGAGATGCTCGTCGCCTTTCACTCCAGCCCATTCTCTGCCCCACTGCAGACTGCCACCCCAAATCGGGGCTTCGAACTGGACGTGGACATCCTGTACACGGATTCGGACTCTTATGACTACGCCAAAGGCGAGCGCACCTGCGAATTTCATGTGAACGCCTCAAATCCAGGTGAGAGATTCCATATGAGATGCATTAGGAGAGCATTCTTGGCCATTTGTGGGCGACAAATGATGCAAATCTCTGTGGGTCACGCGTGAGGGATTGGCTCAGGCACAGGAGTTCATTGCACATTGTCTATTCCCAAGCTCATGCTTTCCATACAATTGTATCGTCTCATTCATGCGATGTTCTCCAATCAGGTTCACAAATTTATATACTCTCCAACACACACACACACAAATTAATTGACGCCTTGGTCAACATACAAGTGGACACTTGTGAGGAGACTCAGTCCCAGAGTTTGCACAGATAGGAAGAAAACACAGCAAAACTGAATTGGGTGAATTTGTGTTCAGAATTGCAGCTTGATTATCTATTGACACAGCTGGAGGATATCGCAATTAACTCCAATCAATGCAGTCGACAATTGAAAAGAAATTGAATTTTGACCAGTAAAGATTTGTTGTACGCAACATGGCTTTTTTTTAGGAGTTTTCACTGCATGAATAAAAATTTTAAAGCTCTTGAGATATTATAAAATAAAATTGAAATATTCCTCCCAAATCACTTTTCAATGAATAAATAAATTGAATTTCAATGTGAAATAATTTTATATTCTGTCATGTATTTATTTAATTATTAATTAGTGCATCATGAAAACACATTTAATTACACAATAGGCTAAATTCCTGGGTATTTTCAATCACACTGTTAAATCATGTCATTTCATTTGCATATACCTAACTATTTCCATGTGCAGCCAAAGTCAAAATGAAATTTGATTTCACAGAAAAATCCTAACAAACAAACAGTGTGAATTGTCATGGCGTGTATATATTTTCAAATTAATTTTATTTGTTGATGAAACACAAAGTTTCATTGTTCATTTGTTGGTTTGCCATTGTTTAAATGTGTCTTTTCCTCAAACATGCAAATATACTACGATATTGGAAATTTTCAATCACTGCAATTTTGCGGGAAATTCTACATGTTCATTAAGCGTCAAAGTACCACTGCTATACAAACATATTCACACATGAGAATTAGTAGCTGTATAGCAAATGGATATTTCGAAGAAACCACAGGAATATGGCTAATAAACGCCTATAATCGTGCTAAATTAAGGATTATTATGTTAATAGGAGTGTATATAATTGAAGTTTGGAATCACACAGATTTTCATGGAATATAAATGTTATGCAGAGGCTTATTAATGTCTGATTCTACATATTTTGATGAGAATGGGGTTGATAATTTGAATTACAGTATTTTATTGCGGATTCCACCGCCTGCAAATGCACAGCATCGTTACGTCAGTGTAATGATAATGCCAAAGCAGACGATTAATCATTCTAATAAGAGGATCAACTCAAATCCAATATAGACACTCATTGAAGCATGCCACTTTCTGCGCCTGTTCTGAACATCCACATTGAATTTCGAGAGCACTCAGAGCAATGTCGAAAGTACCACTAAAATGTTCCTAATACCACCGAAACTCTTGAAGATCCCACACTGTATTCTCATCCATTTTTCGACCACCATTAGCTTTTTTTCTGCTCGTTACATGCGATTAAAGCATTCGCATCGAATTTCCACATTTTCGCTTTTAGGCTTATTACCCACCCCGAAAAAAAAATTACAAAACCAATCCCTTTGTCATTTTTTTCCCCTTTAGAATGCCAATTCATTTAAATTTAAACTGGATTCAGATTACATTTCAATTAAACTAAAATGTGAAGTGCTTTAGCGAGAGAAAAAAAAGTGATGAAATTGCAATTTGGAATGGCATTTGTGATGCTTTCACCTCATTAAAGCTCACAATTAAATAACATATCAAATGGCAATGAGTGCTTAATGACGTGTTGTTGTGAGAATGGAGCCTTTTGTTCCGCCGCCTGGCAAACTCTGCGTCCAACAGTCGACATAGATAGATCCACGTCCTGACAGTGTGCCAGCATAATTGGAAATACTTCCAGAGTCGCTGTCAGTAATCAAGTGAAATGAGATCAGAGGCAAGCAAATGCCATAATTACGATCAGAACTTTCTCTCTTTAGCCAAAATTGAACAGTTTGTCCGGCACAGTAAGTCAATATTTGCGAGAAATAGCGCTAAAGAAGTTTAAGCATCATTGTATTTGGCACTCATTTTCCCCTTGTTGACAATCCACTCCATCAGGGGATTTTCAAGCGGTTGAGCGCGATTCCACGAGTGCAAATTAAGTGCAAGCAAATTCATCTCGCGAGGGCTGTTATTTGTTTACTCCCGGTGAAATCGCTGATAAAGTGGAGCACGAGACATGTGAGCATTGTCAGTGTTTGATGGTAAAAAGGGCCGCTATGTCTCACAGTGTGAGATTATATACACAACCATAATCTCCATACATAGGTGCAATGTAGGCGAGGAAAACCGCATGCAGTTAAGTGTGCTTCCGACAGGCACCCTTTAGGATTTTGCTTTAATCATGCGGTTCTCTGAGTTTGCTCCTGTGTGAAGCTGAATGCAAATTATATCGCTTTTCTGCACGATTGGAAAGCAAATCAATATGTAGAACTTTTTCCCACAGTCTCTCCGCCTATTTTCCTTTCCTTCGCGCCTGTATTCGAGCCTCACGGGTAATCTGAATGCAATCATTTGGCGTGAAAAAAAAGAACCAGAGGAATGCGAAACTCGTATAGCCAGTGCTGCAAAACCCCAGGTAACTTTTCGAGAAGAATGCATAAGAATGCGGAAAATAAATTAAAATTGCATCAGAGTCGTTCAACCAAAGTTCCGCCCACACATTTTTCTGTCCGACAGACGAAACAATAACTTCCGCCTGATCATTAGTGCGGAGTCGTGTTGGTTGAATGTAAGAAGGAATCCTCCTTATTGTGCCTTTTTCCCCACCATTCACAGATCCAACAAAAATCCATTAGTGAACTCTCGTTTATACAAGAAATTCACCACCCCGCAGAATAGATGAGAATAGAAATGCAAAATAATTAACTTTTTTACAAACTCCACGAGCTCTTCACCGTCTGTTCTCTTAGAAAATTTTCACATCTTTTTGTTGGCACACATTTCAATTCTCTCTCTCCCTCTCCCTCTCTCTCTTGCGCCTGAGAAATGGCAGGAAAAACTTCGGATCCCAAGATGAATACGCGATTAAAGTCGGTGTGCTTTTTGTGCACTCAAGAGTGTCAACACTGTGCCGCAAAAGAATCCCCTAAGCAAATTAATAGTTCACACTTAGACGCTATAGTTTTAACCGACGTGCTAATAGCGTGGTCACAATCAGTATAGCTTATGTGCATGGCATTTAATGCCTTTCTCGCAAATTCTCGTGCGCGCTTGCAAGTTCATTTGCCCTATTTAATGCATTACTAAATTTCCTGTCTGCCATCGTATAAACATTTACTCCGCTATTTTGTATATCAGTGCACTCGTTGTGGGGTGGCGAAGAGATCACCCACAATTTATCATGTGGAAATTGAAGGTATGACTTCAAAGCAGCACTCTGCATGTATATGCTAATGAAATATATTTGCGTATTTGTGTTATTTCTGCACCACCAAATATGTAATAATCTCAGATGGAAATTGCGGACGAGCTTGGAAAATGGCGTGGGGGAAAATGGTGAAATTAGTTGTTGGGTAAATCAAGAGCAGTTTGGCTATTTGGTGTCTGGTGATAAAGATTTGCATTTAACGCTGCTTTTAGGAGCAATTTTTCTGTGCAATCTGGGAAAATCCGTGAATAAATTAAGATCTGACAAATGAGAAAGCTTTCGCGGTTGAGAATTCACTAAAAATCATTAATCCTTGTGAGAAATGCATTTGCTTTTAGTGTTGATTCTGAAGAATTCCATTAGATTTCCACTGATTTTTTTTTTAATATTAAAAATTAACAAGCAAAAAGAAAAACAAGCAAGTCCAATTTCTGCTGAATAACTTCTCCAAACAGTGCAAAATTAAATTGGAAGAACAGCAACAAATCCAAGGCAATTTGGTGGTGGCAGCGTCAATCAATGAAGCGGAACGAGGAAATGCAAATGGAAGTCCACATGGCACACGGTTTATTTGTCACTGTTTTTGTGGGAAATGTTGAAGGCGCAGAGACAAAAATTCTATGCCTGCAGGTGAAGCTATATATTTTGTCATTTCGCAGACGAAAATGAAATTTGTCCACCTCCTTCGACGACGCCCGACCTCCAGACAGTGTCCTGAAGCCAGACTCTGTGCATGCATCCCAACCAATTGGTTTACTCCTGATGGCAGCCAGGAGAGGGTGAAAGCTTGAAATTTAACGAAGGGAATTCAAATTCCGTCGTAATTGAATTTCCACGGAGCAAATTCAAATAATTTTCTAGTTTATGTACTTGTCGCCATCCACCCGCAAGTCATAAATGCCCTCGAGAGATGAGTTGAGGGTGGCGAAGAATCATCCGTCTGCGAAATTGTGAAATTGTCAAATTGAAATATCTCTCTAGCGTCGCTCTATTTTTGCTTTTAGCCCCGCACACGATTCGGAAAATATAATTTGTGCTCTGCGGGGTTGATTCACTTTGCTCGCGAACGGGGGGACTTTCCGCTTGAACACGCAAGCATATATTTGAGCTGAGCGAGAGTGAGAGTGGGATTTGCGGGGTCTTTTTTGTCTTACCTGGCAAAATAAAAATAAAAAAAAGTACAAAATTCTCTCGGTGCCCAGGAAGAGGGAAAAAGTTTAATTACACTCATCTCTGGCTTCGTCTGCAGATGACGTTTTAATGTCTCGGCGTGGGAGAGTCGGTCGCATCCTGAGCCCCCGTCACACGCTGCCGCCCAACACGACGTGCACCTACTACTTCCACGGCCACCCGACGGATCTCGTGTGGATCTACTTCACCAGCTACCATCTGCAAATCCTCCAGCCGCCCGTGATAGACAACACGACGTTCGGCCAGGTGAGCAAAAAAGACACTTCCTCGGGCAGCGTGGCACTGCAAATCCCCTGAAACTCCCCTGAAACCCCCCTGAAACCCTCTGAAACAATGGGATTGTATGCAAAATGGGAGTACTTGGAGCGAGAAATCATGATGCGATTCCACCGAGAGAGCTGATTGCTGCGCTCCGAGAGCTTGTCACAAATTTGAGAGGCAGAGTTCGCAGTGCCAGAAACGGGCTTTAAAAGTCAAAAATCTCTTAAACGCCCAAATCCTATAAGCCCTTCTCTTCCCTCAAGTGACCCACTATGTGAACTCTGCCGTGCTGTGAATCCCACCGCACAGGATTCCCCACAATTGAACAGAGTTGATGACGTTGATGAGTTATAGACACCAGCAGCAAATCTGGAGTTGTGGTCATTTTGGTCAGGAAAAAACAGACAAAAATGAAGTCAAATTAATATTCTACTAACATTTCACCAAGTGAAGTACGCTTTTGGGCTTTCTATTGACCTAATTGTAGTGTTATATTGACTAAACTGTTTGATATCTAATAGAGCTAAACTCTGTTGAAGCTCTGCTGAGCGATCGCAAAGCATGGGGTGTAAAAATTGGTAATATGACGCCTTTATTCACACTCTTTTCTTCTTCTCCTCTTCGTTGCTGCAGACCGACATTCCGCCGTGGATTATTCGCTTTCGTGTGTGGGACAGCTCAATTACTGCCACGTCCGGCCGGGCTCCATCCGGACCCGCCGCGAGCACCACGACTGTGCCGCCGAATTTGCGTCCCTTCCATCCCGCAATCAACAACTCCGTGACCGGCAGCTATTACTACTACCCTTCCGGGCAGAAGCCGTCGCCGAGTGAGCAGCGCGTGAATGTGGACAACGCGTGGAATCCGGTGGAGAACTACATCTACGGTCCCACGCGCAGCAGCGTCTTCAATCACAACAACCCTTACGGGGGTGGAAATGTGGCGCCCTCGCCCACGCCGCCGCCGCCCAATCGCTTCGACAAGCTCAACAACGGTCTGTCCAACATCAAAGAGACCTTCAATTACATCGCCAACACCAAGTACACTCACAATCAGTATTCCGGGGCGCAGCTCAGCAACATCATTCAGCAGCGCCAGCCGGAAACCAACACGATCATCGCTCTGGACGGCTTCCTGGGCCACTCCACCTCCGGCGGCACCAAGAAGCACCACCCGAGCCGCGTGAGTCAGCACGAGAAGAACCCCGGCGGAGGCCGCAAACTGCTGCTCGAGATATTCGACAACGAGACGCCCAAGCTCTGCGATCACACCGCCCTCAAGGAGTCCAGTGGCGCCGCGTCCAAGACGAGGCCTTGCACGCCTCTCGAGAGCTACGTCAGCGCCGGAAATGACTTGGTGAGTGAAATTGCTTTCGGATCTGCCACCCACCCTCGACAATCGATTTAATTACAAAGGCGGTTCATAGGAATTTTGAAATTTATGTGACATGCCGCCAGTCAATTCAACTTTCTCGATTAATGGTTTCAACTTGGTGTGGGCGCTCAGCCTATTAAAATGGTAATTTCTCAAATATGCCCTGCCACACTCTCATGGGTGCTTCAAGGGAAAATTAAAATTCCTCTTCGCTTTGTCAATATGATTTGAGAGTCAGAATCCCGTCTCCAGAACGCTAATCTTTCAATCAATCGGCAGTTAAGGAAGAGTACATCAGAGTAAAATGCGTTCAATTACGAAAGGTGTGTCCTTAAAATCTCAACAACAATATCCAAGACATTAGAATTCGCATAAACATCGCTGCCAAAGGCTGGTTTTCATTCCGCTGGGAAGAGAAAATATTTGAGAAGTTCAATATTGAACTTCTATACTGAGATTCTTTGTGGCCAAAGCGGGGTGAGAATTGAAAGAAAATCGTGGTTATACATAGTATTTACTCAATTCATCGTCTGTGCGCCATTCTTTTCATCCTCAAGTATCTTTATGGTGTTCGGAAATGGACGGCTAGAAGCGCACCGACAATGGGAATAAGAGGAAGTATATCTCAAAGTGTATGGCAGAGAATCCCCATAATGCTCAAGTTCATCATTTGTTATTATTTTCCGGGGTGTGTTCGAGCATTTGTACGTCCGTGTCGCCAGCATTGGAAGCCTTGGAGCATATTTTGCTCCCTTGCGATGCTGCACAAATCGTCACAAACTCCCCTTCGAGCAACAATATGTCACCTTCACGTGATGTGCGGGTCTTTGAGACTTTTCTGCTGACGATGGAGAATCTCCCTTTGGCGCATTGCAGAAAATGCGCCTCCGCTGATTTGGTGAATGGACACCATTTTCCCACCCACTTGCAATCTATTTCACCATCTTTGCACTCCTCCTTTCGCAAAGTATGCCATCAATTTGTCATATTGAGCGATTCCACAGAGCGACTAAATACTCTCCCGTATTTTACGCGGTGCGACAGAGGATTACAAGCAGTAAGAAAGGATGAAAAGTGCTTCGAATTAAATTATTAATGAAAGCTGAAGTACAAAGCAGTTTCTCATTGTTGTCAGTACCAAATCCACATTCTCTAGAGTATAAAACCATTGTCCTTTGTCTATATGAAGTCCCAAAGGGAAATTTTCTTTTAAACAGTTTTGCAGCGAGAAGAGCGCTTTAGTCTTCCGATCAAAGCTGAGAAATGATTCTAGACCCAGATTAAGCTTCTCTCACGCTAATTAGTTTATCATCATTCCTTAAATAAGCGTAGAAAAATGGAAATTCTTTACAATTTTTCAGAAAATTGAATTCCACACACAAACCGGAACTGCTCTCTTTCCCGCTTCATTTGCCCTCCAATATGAGTTCGTAGACACGAATTTAGGTGGAGATCTGTGGCTCGGACGTCGCGGTGAAGAGACAGAAATTCCACCGCTCTGCTCTCGCGTCTTTCGACGACGTCGAGCTGACTTCCAGTCGCCGCGCAACGTCTTCCTTCACGGACGCGGCGGCGCCCGAAATCTCACTTGCTTGTACCGCATCGAGGCGGGCCTGGGAGAGAAGATCCGGGTGAGCCTGCACAATGTCTCGTTCGGAGACTCCACCACGTGCATAACCGAGTCTGACGCTCACACCGGCCGGCCGAGATGCGTGAAGCTCGAGAGCGATGGAGACAGTCGATTGGGCGAGCTGAAGATCTTCGATGTGCCCTACAAGGATGTCAGGGTGCCTCTGGGATGCTTCTGCGACAACACGAGCAGCATCTACAATACGCCACTAACCTTCCAATCCAACTCGCGCACGCTGGAGATCTCCTTTGTCGTGACAAACCTCAATGTGTCCGAAGACTTTGCTGACGTGTATTTCCACGCATCTTATGAGATCGTCCGCGTGCCGGACTGTCGAAGACATTTGCGCCTCAGAGGCGCTGGTGGCGAGGAAGAGATGGAGTATCCTCTGCAATCTTATGACGCCACTTGCGAAGGACAGCCGTGGTACGTTGAAGCTCAGGCTCTGGAAAGGTAAGTCGCGATCGAGTGAAATTGACCATCGAATAAGATTTGATCATTCACAGGAGTCTCTTTGTACTTACTTGGGGCACATTCCTGCCCATCGAGCCGTCGCAAGAGGAGATTTTACGCTGCAATACGAGAAATCGACTTATTGTCTACACAGGACGACCCCTGAAAACCATGAGAGTTATTTGTCCCACTCAGAAGGGCAACAAAGCTTCTGCGCTACACATATTCTCTGAGGATTGGCTCAACGCACAACCCTTCCTCTACGGCTCTAAGTAAGTTCCCTTCAAATTGATATTTTTAAAGGATTAGAATTAGATTAACTCTGCAAATTGATCTTAATTCAGACCAGCGACCATAGTTTTGGAGCCAGTGTTCAAAGAACCTGGAGATCTCGCTTTCTCGTGGCTGGAGATTCAGAGGACCAAGGCTTCTCTCATCCAGCAGCTCGATCTCCAGACAAACTTCACTGCCAATGAGACACTCGGTGAGTTCGGCTTCTTCCCTCGACATGCCGAATGCGAGCACAAGTGTCCCGAACTCGATGCCTGCATCGGAAGCAATCTGTGGTGCGATGGTCAGTATAATCCCGATCATTCTCCGGCCAAATCCTAACCGCGGCCTGTCTTGCAGGACAAGTGAACTGTCCGTCTGGTTATGATGAGTCCGAGGAGGAATGCGGCACAGCCAGGAAGCTCCTGGAGCTTCCGGGAGGAATATTTGCGGCTCTGGGTTGCATCGCTGCCGCCGTCGCCGCGTGCTTCATCTTCTGCATCTTCGGACTGGTGAGGAAGAGGAAAAAGGGTCTCGACGCCAAGCCCACGCTCAACGGCACCCTGCGCAAGGATTTCAAGAAGAGTGACCTCTTCATGGATCCCAACTCCTGACACGGAATGCAGCCGGTCGAGTACATTCACGTCGACCGGGAGACAACCGTGTGACCCATCTTCAGCCATCAGGATCACTTTCTACCGTAAAATGGTGCCGAGCAATCCGTAAATATATGAATTATTGTACGATATTAACCTAATTGTAGGGGGAGGACAAAAACCGAGAATTGAATATTGTTGTGATAGCTAAAAGAACATATTTATTTCATTATCGCAAATACTATCTCATCTGTTTTCTATTAGCCACTCTTCTGAACTTGTCGCACTGCCCTAGATAGCAGCGCGTGCGACTATCCAGAGCCTCGCAACACCCTCGAGGCTTAAGTAAATCTATGCGTATGATTTGTATGCTCACGAGTACAATCACTTGCGATAACATGATACTGAATTAGATTCGGAACACCTCTCATTGTTGAGCGCTGCGATGGAAATCTTTCAAATGTATGTTTTCCGCTCTCTCTCTCTCTCTTCCGAAGACACATTGATAGCTATTAATGCAAATCATCGCAATTCAGTGTGTTAACACTGCGGGTGCAATATTGGAGAGTATAATTTTCCTGTTCTTTTCTATTCTGTTGCACTCAAGAATTCAATGAAACTTGCAGAATAAAGTGTTTCTTACTCGTCTAAGACTAGCACACTCTTCTTCTTCTTGACCGCTTTTTTTCACATTGACTTCTGAGGGATTTTCATCCAATATTCGCTCGCAAGGAAACTTTGAGAGCATAGAACGAGATACAATCAAGTTAATCAAATTGAATTCAATGCAGACGAGTTTAATATTGGGAGGAATGAAATAACTATACCTAGTCGTGTTTATAGATGGGGAAGGATAAAAAATTTCTTATAGAAATTAAAGGTATAATATTGTAATTTAAGATGATAATGTCGTGGGAAATCCAGTGTTGAAATGATTTAAATAAGAACGATACAATCGCAAGGGAAGATTATCGTCCAGACTTACAATTATCTCTTAAGGGTCAAGACTTCATTTTCAGTATTTTATTCCCACTTTTGTGTCACGAGAAGTCGATTTAAATAATAGAGAAGAGAAAGATTATGAAAAAACACTGTTAAATGTCACGAATTTCTTATCATAAAACGCGTTATATAGTAGAAAAAAACATAAATTTAATAAGAAAGTAAAACCCATTGAGAGGAAAAGTGAGCAATATTTAATTAAGTTTCACCGGTCAATCGGAAGTTTTTGGCGAAGATGTAATATATTTTCATATAAATCCGTCATTTTGCACAAAATGTCACCCTATCACTCATTTAGTTGACATTTTTCCTCGTGCAGAGGAACAAAACATTATAACTGACATTTGTATGAAATTGTGGTTTCTCTTGCATCTCCCAGTGTTTTCAATTTAGCTGAATGACAAACCCATATAAAATAAGAGAATAGACAGAAAGCAACAATATCTACACCGAATAGAAACCCAGATTAATCTTAATTCTTCGTCTCTAACAGAAAAAAAGAAGAAAAAAAATACATTTCTAGTTAAGATGTGCAAATTCTTTTGCATTTATTTTCACTTGAATTTCTTTGGATGAATTTTACAGAATAAAAGAAAACATTTGATGGTCAAATCATTAGGAAATTTACGATTTTTACAGAAGGAAAAGTCTGAATTTTATGTAAATAGGATCTTTTGATGCGCATTAGTTGATCTATTTCTATACAACACGAAAGCACCTTTATTATTCCGAATAATTTCCCCGAACAGAATTTCTCTCGAAGTGACGCCAGAAAGTAGACAGTTTTTTGTGTATAATTACATATTCAAAATGAATCTGTCGAGCGTGAAGATGTCTATATTCCACCTCGATGAGGTCTTCTGCCCGTTCATTCATTCGTCGCACTTGAGAGAAAGAGAGAAAGAAGAAAATCAAATTGTATAGGTAGATGATTAAATGACATCGTAAATAAATAATTAGGAATTATAAAGAAAAAGAGGAAAAAGCACACATTTTTAAAAACACACGACACACATTCTCTAAATAACTATGAAAAGGAAAAAAGGCACAATTGTGCTGCTATTAAAATAAATAATTCAACAGAAGAATAAAGATGAAAGGCAAAATAGTAAAAGATAAGAAAAAAAAAACATTAAATCTTTGTCTCATTTTATCATTTAGAAGGAGTTTATAAGCATTATGTTTTTCATTTAATAGAAGAAAAAAAAAACTAAAAACGTTTGTTCATAAGTGCCAAAGGATTTAGTATTGAGTTTGAAAGGTTGTAACTCTAAGTTATTCCCTATTCTAGAGTCAGTTGTGAATTATTGCGCTGAAGAGATTGTGAAGATGAAGAATGAAAATGCAGAAATAAATTATTTTTACTGAAGTCTTTCAAATTCAATTTCACACTTTATTCTTTGCCACACGAAGAAGGAGATTTGTGAGCAGAGCTTCGACAATGGCGCACGTGGAGGTAAGAATTATTAGAAGACTTTGCAATAAAGTTGGCCAATTTGTCGTGATTCTGCAGACGGAAAGGGAATTTGTTGATTATTTCGGAAACTCGTCGTGACGATGTACGACGAGTGGAACAGAATCATTTTGCCACCGCGTTGAAAGTGCAGAAAACTGGAGCGATAAATGAAATATATGTTTCTTAATGCTCTTCCTTATTGCATTCCCTGAAATTAAATCCAATCAAGAGTCTGAGAATTAATCAAAAATATTGAATTAGCTCAGAATTCGGTGCATACACAATGGCTCTTGGCTTTCCATCTCTCAAAAACCACATCGTGCATACCAAATTTTCGCGCTGCGGTGTTTAATTTGAAGCGAAGCGAGGAAAGTCATAAATTCCAGAGCGATAAAAAGAACCTTCTTACTTCACCAGACAATTGAATTAAGCAATTACAAAATCAGCATCGAAGGGAATGCAACAACCTTCCACACAATCTTCAAACAATCACAAAGAATTTTCATTGCGACTGCAACTGATCGATTCGCGCGCGCTTCTCTCCGCGAAATGTGTGGCAAGAAGTGTGCATTTGGAACCGAACTGGTGAAAGTCACTTCAGCACCATTGCATTATCCTTCTATGCCCATTTCAACATGCCACCGGTTCAGCTGCAGTCCAATTTGGCTGCACCATTTCTGCACACGGCTTCTTGTGCGTCCGCGAGTGCACAATTGGGTGAGCGAAGCAAAAGCGGGCGAAATGCAAATACCTCGCAATATATCCAACATGTAGAATTAGGTGTAAAACAAGTGCTGAGGCCGCATAAATTGCATTATGTTGCATTTTACTCGCGAATGCTTGACTCTTCATTTCGAACCAAATGGCCAATTTGCAGCGAAATCGCGTGTCTTCGCGAGATCACACACAGAGTCCATTCACAGGTGATCAATTGCATCACGATCCATATTAACTACGTGCCAATTGCTGTCTGTGATAACGTATTCCACGCTCAGCGTGCGCCAATTTATTTTTACGCGTCGCGTAAACGGCTAATATTCTCATTTTACTGGCTGCATTCCTCAAGATTTTCGCAGTGCGCTGTGTAACATTTCCAAGAAAGACATCTTTGATTACGTCGTAGACAACAAGTGTGAGCAACACTTCTATCTTCTATGATCTATCTTCTTGAATAGATCAATGAACTTTAATCAATTTCGCTTAAGAGACGCAGAATTTTGTATCATATTCCAATAAATGAAGTAAATTGATACTTTTTCTAAGCTTTGCTCATCTGAAAAATTCCGTAGATTTGTAGTGTTTGAATGAAACATCATGTGACTTGCATTAAAATACCTCCGCGTATACTACGCGTAATTATTCGGCTCTGGCGCATTTCCACGCAAAGGTATTGTGTTCGGCGCGTTGACGGTAAATCAGCAGCTGGAGGGAAGTCGTTGCGTTGCAATCGCGATCATCTTCAAATCTGGGCGATCGCAGGCGATTCTGGGACTGAATCGGCGATCGCGTCGACACGAGTGGAGATCTCTGAGGCACTTGGCCCGAGTAAAAGTAACACGAGGTGGGGTTTCACACCGACTGAAGCCGGTGAAATGAAAGTTGAAGCGTCTTCCAGGGCACCTCGTCAGTCGAATCGCGGTGCTCCAGCAGGTCGAACGCGTGTCTGTTTCGCTGTTGCCGATGAAAAAGTGTGCTCTGCTCTTCTTGTGTGCCCATTTTGATCTGCTGGGAATTTTCCAAAGAGTCGCATCGAAGAAAGGCGATCACATCGCCGGATTCTGCACTGGCTTTTTGCTGGCGACGTCGCGATCTTCCTTCCGTGCGGCGGTTTGATTTCTTTTTGCCAGGAGAAAATTTTATGATTGGCATCGTTTTTTTTTTGTTTCACCACTTGCAAGACAAATTGCAAGAAATTTCGACGATCCTCCGTGGCAAAACTTTCGTGTGCGCGTGGCGACAAAAAGACTCTGGAGGTGAAAGAGCTCCAAAAAAAGCGTGTGAAGAAAGGCAAACACTCGCAAAAGTGGGATGACAATGGCAAAATTCTTTCGTGATTTGGTCTAAAGCACTTTGAAGCAGCTCAACTTGCCGTGATCTTTTCGGACGTTGCGATAGTGTTTGTGTCCAAATTAGAGACAAAATTGTGCACATATGATTCCAAAAACTCTCACAATGGATTACCTCCTGCGCCACAGACGGATGTCCTTTCCCAAAAGGTAACATCATCACTTCCTCGTTCGCATACCGACAAATCCCCGCGAATTCGCCGTCCTTCTGCGTGCGATCGTGTGCATTTGCACTTGTGAACAGCGAAAGATGTTTATTTATATTTTTTTTATGTGAAAATTGCGTTGTTACTAATTCAATTGCATGATGTGTTCGGCTCTAGTTTTAATTGGAATTACAAATTTTTTTTTCTCCGGCGTCATTTTACAATAGACCCAATATGCAAATGCACGATTCAACCTTGGAGATGAGCCTTTTTCCTCGCACCATTTATATTTTATTACATTTCAATTAGATATATGAAATAATATTCTAGGAGCGATGTTAATGACTCTTGACATGGGAATTCATCATCTCATTTTCTCGTTCCATCGCTCTGGCTATGAGGAAATAGCGAAACTTGCAATTCGCTCCTCTGAGGACGATGGGAAATATCGACTTTTGCCCATTGCACAATTTGCTGAGAGCACCATCATTTTAATTGCTGAAAATTCACAAGGAAATCACTGAATTTCACCCATCATTCTAAGTAGATTCGCCACGCAGAGTTACAATTGAGCAAGAATGTATATCTCCCAAATTATATATCGTGCAGAAGAGAGTGTGAAAGGCGAGCAAATTGAAAGTACACAGGACAGTCGGTTGCCGAGTGGCTCCACGTGAATTTGCATGCAAATTGCTGCAGAATTCATTCACTCGTCCTAGGTTTATTCAGTGTTCCCGTGTGTGTTTATTGTTCCAGCTTGACGACACTTGATAAGGAGCATAAGAATCAGAGATGGATGTTGAATTTCCACCGAAGAGTTTCACACCAAAAATTCCGCCACAAACTCTCAGCGACATGTGCACACATTATTTATTCATTCTATCACAATTAATACTTCGCAACTCTAGCCTAGAGTGGGATATTCAGAGGTTATGTTTGTGACGTGAACCGTAAAAAATGCTCCTTGAATATGCATCATATGATTACTAGCGAAGAGAAGTTGCAGGCACTAATTAAAAGTTTGACTTGAGGGAAATTTTTCCCATATTCACCGCCACAAATGATACAAATGGATTGAAAATTCACTCTACTTGTGGGCCTTCCAGGGCATTAATTTGCTGTGACTTGAAAAAAATGAAGCACTTTTTGCAGCAGTGTGACAGTTTATTGTGGCCATTAATGGCTTAGAAACATGACGATGTCCTGCGGTAAATAGCCTGTGAGCACAGCAAAGCTTTCAGCAAATTTCACCCTTTTGCACTTCATCATTAACTTTGGCCACAGCACCTCAAGAATGCCTGTGAAATTTCCCTAGCATTACAGGGTGGAAATTGCACGACGGTATTTATCGAATTTCGCCTGGCACAGCACAGTATAATTTATTAATTAGGCTCGTACATGGGAGATTCCTGGCTAATTAGAGAGTCATCCCTCGAAAGTTGCGCAATTAATGGTTTGTTGGTGTAATTTGCGTGTGGACTCATTCTTCTCTCTCTCTCACACTGACCAGTCGCTCTCCATCCACTCCTGGGTGACTCGTTCATTTATTATATTTCACACTAATGCTCTCACATTACAAGCCAGAGAACAATTGCCCCTCAAAGCTCTTCTCATTTAACGGCTTTGCAGCCACTTTCCAGCGTTTGTACAGAGTGCTCCGCATATAAAAGTTCATTATTTTGGGAACATTTTTTCGGCCTTTCCCCAATTGCTAACAAATCTGCAAATGGTGAGATGGACTTTCTTGGGTGTTTGCCGATACATTAGCGAAAATAGCGAAGGGTATTCGAGAGAGAGAAGAAAGAGGCGAAGTGAGACACAGTCACAGTGCTATTAATAATATTTTAGGGGAATTTGTGAGGTCTCTTCGTGATGATGATGACATAAAGCCGCATTTAATACACATTTTATGTGTTTTCCTTTCAATTTCACTTTCTCAAATCAATCGCTCCCCACTTCAGCGCCACTGTCACTCACTGAAGTAATCATATTTGTCTGCGGTGAAAGATTCACGATGTCATCTTCGCAGCTTCTCCCCTTCACACATCTCGGGCACCTGCATCGTTTGGCCATTAATTAGCAATAGAGACAACTTTTTCCCTCCCAACAATCACTCACGGATGATGGCTTTTTTTCCCCGCATGACACAAATTTATCGTTTACATTTCTGCCCACTCAGGAGTACAAGGAAATGACCAGTGTAACCCAATTTCTTTGATTTATTCCTCGCTATGATTTATACATTGCCAGCTAAATGATTTAATAGGTTGTAAACATTGATAACACAGCTAAGAATCACTTATTCACTTAAATATCACTGCTGGACTACTGATTTAGAGCATTGTTAAGATTAATCTCTTCAAAAAATGAGCTTTCTTTCCAAATTGCACCATAATTTTTAAGACATTCACAAGGAAAACAACGTCAAATCAATCAGATCAGGGGAAATAGTGAAAAACGCAGTAAAAGGAGAAAGAACTTGACTTCAATGGTCGGTCAGTGAGAGCTTTACTGTGATTGCACAAGTAAAAGTGAATTTTCCGCGTGGTTTGCCACAACATTGAATTCCACAGATATTTGATAATAAAATTGAACATAACGGAAGAAAAGTATTCACACTTGGAAGCGATTGTTTTCAAAACAAGCGCACATAGTTAAAGTTGAAACATTTGTCGAGTGTTAGAATTTTCCTTCACAGTGTGTGAATTCTATTCTAGAACTATGCCTAGAAAAGACCGTTGATTGCATTTTATGTGAAAGTTTAATAACACACCAAGGCTGTTAAACTCAATTTGCTTAACATTAAACTCCACAAAATGCCCCATGATCTTCGATATCGTTTAATAGGGACATCACAAGGAAATTTCCAACTCATAATCTGTTCAATATGAATTTGCACAGCTTCACTAATTATGACATGCAGTGAAGTAAGATTTATTCACCCAAATGGCTCAAATCGTGAGGAGTTAAATCGTGCTTTTTTCTCCAAACTCGAGCACCTTGTAAATTGAAAGTGTGCAAATTTCGATCATGTTGTTGTGTATTGAGAATCGTGTTTTATCGAGCGACTTCTCAACATCAAATTGCAAGCAATAAAGTTCACATGGGGCAAAGTCGCAGGGTGAGAAAAAAAGGCGGGAAAATTTATGTTACGGTGAAAGTGCGGTGCCTTTTCTGCAGTGGACAAAACGGGTTGTTTATTGCGAGCGGGGGGTGGGGCAGGGGAGAATGTGGAAAAAGCAAATGCAAAGAGAGAGAGAGATGATGGCAAGAGCGGGACATTGTCGTGACAAATGCAACTACTGAAGATTGACGCAATTGTAATTGTGTGCTTGGCCTGAAACCACTCATTTGAGATCATTTCATTACATCGAGCAATTGTGATTGCACTCTTAATTGCTTTCAATTCGCTTTTTTTCTACTCGCGAGTGCACAATCTTCAGGGGGGGAATAATGCACTGCAAACTGATTGATTCTGTGGCAGCTTTTACTGAATAATCTGTCAATTAATGACTAGAACTCATCAAAGGAATTGCATGTCGTGTGAAAGACTGTATACGGTAAATGAGCTCACATGTGAAAAAGAAATAGATCAATGCTGGTAAAAAAACATACGAAAACGAGTATTGATAGGCATTTTTCCACTCTTTCACCTCCACGGCAACTGTGCATTTTCAATAACATCATGTAGAAATGCAAAATGTGTTTTTATGTTGACTTGCATGTGACTACTTGGATGTTTGCTACTTCACAAGTTAATTGAGACACGGCGAATTCTCAAAACCTTGTTCCAAATAGCACTTTGTCTGCAAGAGAGCAATATCCAAAGCAGATCATGATTCAGCATCACTTTTCTTATATTCAATTTGCAAATATATAGAATTAGTGGGATCTCTTTTGCTGCGCTCCATTGCGATTAAATAATTATTAAAATTATCTAAGACCTCCAATTTCAATCCATGTTGCACACATCTCACAGATGGAAAAGGTGCTTATTTCAGAGCCTCTCCATCGTGGAAGTGAACAGCAAACAGTAAACATAATTCCCGAGATCAATCATGTTCTCAATCACTTTGAACTGTCAAGGGAAAATCAGTGGCAATTTCCAGTGTATTTCACTCAAAATTGCACATCTATTCAGGAATTGGGATTAAAAATACCATAAAATGCTGGAAATAACTCGAAAAAGAATTCTATTCGTATAAAATCAAACTTCTGGAAAATTATTTCCATTGAAATGTAAACATTCTCCAATTGTTTTCCGATTTTTTTAATAACAAACCAATAAGGGAAATTGTTTTTTTATACTATTTTAAAGGAAGTGAAGGTACAGGGGAGTCACACAGTATGATTGCACACAGAGTATCAATTTCACGCTCAATTCTGCAAGTAAAATTCAGGTCCACTAAATTGGGCGTCCAAATAAATATTTATTCGTCAATTAAAAGCATTTTATTTGCACTTAAATTTGATATTCCACCAATTGAGTTTATTTTGTGCATATTTTAGTTTAAGTACGTGCTAAATATTCTCACTCATATAAAGTTACAATTTTCATGTGATGAATATTGAATGGAATCATCATACACGATAATGTGTAATTTATATAATTGCCAAGCTATTTTTGCTAATACCCAAAATCCATGACACGACAGTGAATTTCAATGTCATACTTATTAAAAGAATTAACATTGACAAATTCAATTTACTCACTTGAAGAACTCTCCAATGCGACGGAGGAGTTTTTCGCAAGATTCCCTGAATTTTCTGTACCACTTCTTGCCTTCTTCCGCACGATTTTCGACTTGTTCGTCACCTGGATTCAATTGTCCGTCCGCAATCTCGGTTTCCACCTCAACAGGTTTCTCCACCTGACGCTTGTCACGATTTAGCGAATCACCCGCGCCAATCTTGTATCCGATTTCCCCTCCAATAGGAACTCCAAAGACGTCAAACTTGCGTGAATACTTCTCCTTCATCGCCACGCCATCGCGGATCCGATCGGCGCCCTCAGCAATCAAGACAGCGCCCGCGTCCATGGCTTGCTGGCCCCACTGCTGCGGATCTTGGGGCTTCGCCGCGACGGCGACGATGAGGAGTGCAAGAAGACCCACAAATGCCTGCATTCTTCGACACACAGAATCCAGCGCAAAGCGCCGAAGCACTTTTATCCACTCTGCGCGATCGTTTTTCTCCGCGACTTTCCACAGCTTCCGCATCGCGGGTATTGTGTCACCTATCGGTGTCGAAAATCGCTCTAATTGTCGCTTAATTGCTGCCTTCCATGTTTCCATGCATACTGAAGAGCTTATCTGTGCACTTACTAGATGAGGCACACTTTTAGAATGCTCCCAACTTGGAATTTGTTTCGTTGCAAACTTACATAACGCCATTCGGCTGTTTTGAGAAAGCTTCCTCCTTACTCGCTCTCGAGATCGCAAGAAATGTCAATTATGCACATGATTGTGGAACTATTTTTCAGGTAAATAACTCTAATCAGCTAATATTGCTTTGCTATGTAACTGAACCAAAGTGCAAACAGAAAATCATTTCACATGCATGTTTTGTTGTTTTGATTGAATGCCACTGACTTTCTCACACAATGAAAACCACTTTGATGGAAATCTCAAAATAAAACACATTACTTAATGAAAAATCAATATTTTTCCTCGGCAAAGCGTATTTATGAGAAAAATTTCACCAGAACAAAATTGGCAAGTGTGGCGCCTCTTTCGCGATTTCTGTGTGCCAAAATATCTTTGTCCGGAAAAATCAAAAGCACTTCCGGTCGTGAGAAATCATCTGCAATGGTTGTTTTCTCACCTCTTGCGCAAACTTGAGAACAAAACAGTGATTGTGTCACCTTTAGAATATGTGCTCTCGATGGACTCGAGGTGTGAACAATTTACACTTCAGTATAATACACAGAACAAACACCCACTTCCTTCGGGAGGGGAAATAAAGCTCCCTGAGCACAATGGAAAATGGGTTCTTGAGCATTTTCATGCGAGGCACACCACCTTAAGTGTCTCCCATTCTTTTGTGACCACTTCGAGTGGTAAAAATTGTTTGTTTATGACCTTTAATATATTTACATGCTCAATTGTGCGAAATTTGGTTGGATTTCAGTCATGCCAAAAGTGCTTTCGCACTAACAATTCCCCAAAACATATCGCGTGGAGGTGATAAATTTATAAGAATTTTCCCAAATGCGCTCACCGGTGAAACTCTCTCAAAGTATAATATTTGTGAAGACATTTTCGGTTGCATTATGTAAAAATGTATGTTATATTTGTACGCATGTTTGCCCAACAAATTGAGTTCACATCGCACAGATGTAAATGGGAAAATCTTTTATCAAACCTCATTTACCTTCCAATATATCTTTGCGTGTTGAATTTTCACTCATATGGCAAATTCATCATTTTCTAACTTTCTGACGTTGCATCACGAGAGAGGGTGATTCATAATGGAGAAAAAATCGTTATGACTTTGTGGAGAAAAAGCGAATTGTTACACAAATTCAATCATTCCAGTATATACAGAGTTCAGATCGAGATATTCCGATAGCAATTTACTCTGTGCAGATGAGAGTGAAAAAAAAACGGTGTGAATTTGAACAGGAAAAGGTAACAGATAAATTTTTTCGTCTAATTAATTATCCACACCTCGTTTTCTTTCTGCTCCACTGTCATAACCACTCAATGTGATCAGCGATGGAGCTCATCAGAAAGTCAATTTTTCTTGATTGAAGCGCCATTGTTTTGTCCAATCTAGCGAGTGGAAATGAGGTGATTTTTGAGTGTGTCTCTAATGAATTTCGACTCCCTTTCCTGTCGCGACAGGAAAAGGTGCGAAAGGACAAATTGCAGGGACAGTCTTTTGCCCTTTTTGCTACGCGAACACTTAAGATTAATCAGCATGCAATTAATAGTGTGAAGTCAGTCTCTTCCCACCTTTGATTTAGAAAGGATTTCTCCCAATAGCCATTGGAAAGTTGACGGCAATATTTTAGTGGATCATCAAAAGAGATTATGTTATGCTTTCATACTCATCCAACTTGGCCCACCTTCTTTTCCACTTCCTCCAAACACTTTCTGGTCGTGCTGTGATCTCCCAGGCTGTTAAATTGTGACAATATGCAGAGACAATAAGTGATCATGTTTCTTGCCGATTAATTGAATCCACCTGGAGATTGACAATAAAGCGAGAAGAATGGCGGATTGACTTCCGCTCGCTGAGACACTGTGACATGTTGAGGAAAAAGCCATTGTGAGGCTGACAAGTTATCGAATATCGTGCATGTGACAATAAAGACGGGCAATTTGGGGCTTAAAGAGGCTCTTTTCCTCGGAACTCCCACTGCCAACATTTCAAATATTGACGCATTTTTTCACAAAAGACATTTCCCTTCAGCCATTAGACGGCTAATTGAGCACTCAGAAGAGGCAAATATCAACCTCTGAGACTCGCCCAAGGCGCTAATGTTCGCTTTGGGATGAGAAGATAACATCGCCAGCAGATCTCTGTCTTGATTTTTGGTGGGAATTGCATAACGGTGACGTCTTTCTTATATATAGAGAAAAACAAGATACTCAACACGATATGGCAAAATTCTACCCGATCTCTTGATTACATCTGAGAAAGAGAGGTTACAGTATCACAAGAAATCTGCCAACACAGAAATCGTGGCTCTGCAGAAGCCACCATCACATTTGCAGGTGGTCGAAATGCTCGTGCAATTGAAAGTGAATGTGCTTCTTCAATCATTAATTGCTAACCATCGATGATTTTTTGGAGATGGTCTCATATCTGCCTTTCTCTACTTCATTTCGTGGTATTTCATTTCACATGTCGAAATTATTTTGCGTACTGTGAATTACTTTCCTCAGTTTTTTCCACCCAATCACTTGACTCTGGGATGTTCTTTCTATTTGAGCACATCTTGCGAGCATCTATGAAAGTTGGTGGGCATTGTTAATGGAATTTAAAAGAGACGGTTTATTGTTCACCCGTAAAAGTGAAAAATTTGTCAGCTATTTTATACACCTATGGATGTGCGTGCTTCGCCACATACTTTATGAACATTGGCAGAGAATAGAGAAAGGGTTTTTCATTATTATCTCCCAGGAGAAGGTGGGAAAGTAATGCCTCAAACACAGTACTTCAACTTGTGTAGTTTGTGGAAAATCGAAAGGGTTACACTAGAATTTTAAGTTGAATTTCATGATGATCACTATTATTGTGGTTTCAAGTGCAATGTCTTAGGTGAAACCGCTCGTGAATTGCCTTCGCCGTGGCACAATTTTCTCCAAGATTATCTTCTCATTTGTCCCGATCTGTTGATCGATGATGAGCTAATTACTTTGCCACTCTTTGACAGTGACTAATCGATGTCTAATTCCGCCTCCAATTGAACTCATGCCCCACAGACTTCTTCCTCTCTTCCGTGACTCTGCATATATTTCTCTTGACGTGGCGAATTTGAGATTTGGTCAGAATCTTTGTATCTCCTGAATATCAAGTGCAAATTTCTCCATCAACTTCTCAATTTTACAATGATGTTTGCGCACTCAGCATCTCTTTGGCGACCGCAGAAGAGCTGCTGAGGATCGACGAAAGTGATGATCGTTCATTCAAGGAAGTCACTCTGAAATGGGTGCTCGACGTGCTTTATTGTAAATTTATGAGAATTGACTGAGCGCGTGTGGATCACTTTCGTATATGCTAATCGAAAGACGTACATGAGAAGGTGCTAAAACATCCACATAAGTAAGTACACCTCTTTCGCAATGATCACACAAGAAGAGAGTCACAGGTGAGAAGAACAAAGCTCTGCGGGGAGACTTTTACTCCAATTTAATGCACCAGTGGTCGGTTGGATGGAAACCTTCACCATTAATTCCTCAGTGTCTCGCTACGTGATCTTCTCCAGCGTCTTTCTCTTGCCGAGCAGAGCACTGAATGAACTTACGAACCCCCGTGCGACTTTCATTGTGATGACTCTCTCAGGTGTGCCTAACTTCCGATCAATATCTCGACATCTCATCTCGACAGTGAGAAATCTCAAATGATAGATTGAGACATTTTAGAGCGGAACAAGAGGCTCAATCCCAGCGATCTTCCACATGTTGCACACTGCACAAATACCTCTGTTTCCGCCAATTTTGCTGAAAAGCATGCGAAAGAGAGACCTTGCAGGTGAGCAAGTGGAGCCTCAATGTCATGGAAAATTTGTCGAAAGCACCTATCTTTCTGCCATTAACGAGTAAAAGGTGCACCTTCGATTATTATTTCAATGCTCTGTTTCATCCAACACTTTTTTCTTGCCATTGTACATAAAGTGTTCTTTCATTTCTGCATCTGATAGTGTGATTTTGTTGCCACTCTTTTCCTCCTTGCGCTGCAAACTCAACAACATGTGAAACCCAGAGTTTCTGAATAAACAATCTTTCTCTGTAAAATGTGACTTTGGTGCAGACAAAAAGACATCTTAATTGTGAACGTAACACTTTTCCAACATTCACGGAATATATTCAAGCTTATTCAGGCGCGTTTATAAACATATCACTGGATCATCATTGAATTCTTGCCATACACTTACACTTTAAAGCGCGAGACGCGATCGCTTCATTGCTCATGCACCGTTTTACAAGAACTATCCATTCTTATGTGGTCGCGTTATTCGACGTTTTTTTTTGCCTGTGGGAAGCCAACAATGGTTTGATGGAAAATTGTTTGGAGAGACCTGTAAGATATACAGTTGTAGGAACATCACTTATCTTGCTAATCCACGCTCTTGGGAACACTTTTAACGCCATCTAAACACACATTATATGCTAAGGTCTGATGAGAAAAGCGCGTGTAATCTCTTACAAACCCAATTTTTTTTAATGCACTTTCAAGAAAAATTGCTGTGCCAATTCCCTATTAATGAAATCTCTTGTGGATTTCAAGGAAAAATCTACACACATTTTGGGCTCAAAATCTATTGTTATCAATCGAAGAAAAAATCCCGTTTTCATGAGAAGTTTATGTTAAAGTGATTTTCTCTGACTGCGATTAAGAGATGATCAAAGTTATGGTCTAATTAAGCCTAATATTCCAATTGACTTTCAGATGGTTCTTCTGCCATGGCAATCACAAAGATCTGAATGTGGTGCTGAATGAAATTTTAATAGTGCTTTAGAGAGCATATCCTCATTCATTTTTTTAAGCTTCTCTGACACTAAAAGTCTGTATATATAATTCTTGTTTGGGAGGAAAACATTGTAGAAAAATCGTAACTCTGTGTTCACAATGTTTTAGTACCTAATTTACCGCAGATAATTCCCTCTTCAAGCAGCGACGTTTTGGGTTGAAGAAGAATTCCTCGCGTTGGTGAAAATACCTAATAAAGCATCAAGAAAATTAGCATGTTCCGCGGAGCATTTTCACAAATATTTCACGAACGAAAGAGTCTTTGTTGCTGTGGTGAAAAGTGTGGCAACTGAGGAAAAAAAAGTGCTTAAGTGCCATGGATAATAAAATCCACCTTCTCTTGAACAATTGCCACATTCTTCACTACACCTTCTCCTTGCGGGGCGGTTATTCAATCGCCAGCAAATGATAGAGTGTCGGTGACGAAATGGAGAGGATATATGTGTATACATATAATTTAAATATGAATAATGAGACTCGCATCACATCCGATTGTGTGATATATATCATCCAAAAAATTTAATTACTATTTTCCACTAAAACGCAAATCCAAACCGCGTGATACATTCACTTTTTTCCGCAAACACACTCACTTCATGGATCACATGCAAAACTTTCATTGGCACAAAGAAAAGGCCTTTTCTTTCTTCGCCATCTTCCATCACAATCGGATGGGCAAAGAGAGATAAATTGAATTTAACATTATTGAATTCACACACACACACAGCGAAAATGGGATGGAATTCTGGAAAAAACCGGGCCTTTTTACAATATCTGCTCTAGATCACTTTCTTCGTGCATTTAGAAATGGTTACAGAGTATTAAATGGAAATTAATTCAATTAATTACATCACTTTCTTTGTTGGCTTCAACTTCGTGTTTGAATTAGATGATCTTTCTTGGCCGGTAGTTGTTTGATTTTGCACGTTAGCGAAAGAGAGAGAAATAAACTAATAAAATGGTGTATTTTTTATTCATCTCTCGACATGGCACATTTTTCGAAGCGTGGGGCTTTCAACTCATTGAATATTAACCTTGGCCTTGTCTCGCCATGAGTGATAATTTTCGTCGCTTCGAAAGGTACCACAGCGAAAGAAAATCAGTGAAATATTAGCAAATTGTGTATGTTGAGAAATATGGACCAAATCTCATGTTTTTCTCTCACCAAATTAACCATGAGACCCACACAGAAGGAATTGTGCGTGAAAAATTCCTAAAATGTGGGGCGACAATATTTGTTGTGTATTATTTTCTCTCAAAAAATGACCAGCCAAAAACACACTTCTTGCCCATGTTCAGATCACAAATGCACATATAAACTATTTGAAAGACTTTTGCATGCACGATCTCTTCAGTATATTCACTTTATCTGCTCTTGACAAAGACACAAATTGAGACTTTATGCATTTAATGCTCTCAGGCATCAATTTACGCTTGAAGTTCTCAAGTGTTACATTGCAGATCATATTGGAGATCGTGGCCATCAAGAGAAATGACGGCACAAAGAATTATTTGCATCTCCGATGCAGAATTCCTTAGTGCAGAAAATGCACATTTCTAGTGCAAAGCACTTGAGTGCCAGAGTGAGAGAGAGAGGATGAAATTGAGGAATACAAAATAATCAAATCTCCAACTGCAACTCTGGAATGAGAAAAGGAAAGGATTAAAATTTGTCATCGTCTCTAAGCTAGAGTGAAATCAGCTCTGTTTCCAATGTGAAACTGTCGCTGCACGACTCAATGATTTATCTGTCGGTCTCAAAATGAAATCCAACTCTGGGATGCAAAATGATCAGTCGGTCAGAAGAGTGAAACCTCGTGAAATACGATCGAAATTAGTTTCTCCGCCAACGCACTGCGTACCATCCCAGGCTCTTTCTCAAACCACAGAACCACCGAAGGCAATTCGTCATTGTTGGGCTGGGGGAAAAAAGAACTTCTGACGATATTGACCTACCTCATTAATCCATCACGATGGCGTTCGGCATGAGAGCTACTTCTTTCGCGGCACAACAATGGTTCAGGCTCAAAAACTGGTCTCTAATTTATGTGCTCTGTGGCTAGTTAGTTGGGGATTTACGAGTAAGTGTCTTGAGCGTGAAGGCACGATAGCGACTCTCAATGGTATCTTCAGCAATTACACTCTTGGTGTCTCACATTCGAGCTCTTTTCCATTTAACAAGCCCAAACATCAAGTGACCCACAGACGGAATATTGATAGAGTCTTTTTCCCCTCTGTTATCTCATGCCCAATATTCAAATGTCGCCGAAAAGTGACTCCAAAGTGAACTTTCTATTTGTCTTATTGATCTCTTCTGGGTAATGTGCTATTTTTGTATAGGATTTTCTCTCGCTTCTTCGGACTTTTGCCACCACTTCAAGCTCTAATATATCGACTGTTCGCTGGCTCTCTTGTGGCCCAGGTTATTCACCTCTTCACCCATATATGGTTTGATGTACACGCCAGAAACTGGCTCCTCCAGATAAAATCAATACAAATGTTTTCCTCTTATTTTCCAGGTCAACAGATATTGTGGCATTGATTGCTGTGTCCTGCACATTGTTCCTCTTCCTCCACACGCAAAGTCTCACATCCCGCTTAAGAGAGATGGAAGACAAATTGCAGCCATCAGAGATGTCCGCCAGTGGTCTCAGCGGAAACTCCATTAGTCAAGGTAGAGTGTCCCATATCAAACTGATTTTGTCCCACCACAATTACGCCAGTGCTCTTCTCACTTACCATTGCATCGCTTTTTTTCCCTCCCCCCGAGCAAATGGCTTGCGACAAAGGAGGAAGAATTAGCATGAATTATCTTCCTCTTCCACCATGTCTTTCACTTGCATTTTTGCCATAGTGTTTTCTGAAGGCAAAAAATACTTTGCCACACTTTTTTCTCATGCTCGGCATTGCTGCCTTTTTTGCCATCATCCACCGGCTGACGGAGAAGAAAATGGGTAAAAAAAAGCATCCCAGCTTTGCACGCCCATGAGGCACTTTCGCTAATCACTTTCTTCATTTGTATGCTCTTGCAACTTGCATCTCACTGAAGACGTTATGTACATGGCTTACACATGGCACTGTATGTGCAGAGCACTGCCACATGAAGTGGCAGATTAATCAACTTCCCACCAGATCGACGTGCAGCCAACTTGCGGAATTGCCCAGTGACGAAATTCAGGGCAATGTCCAAGAGCTCGTGAATCGGGGTGATTATACGCAAAAGTGGACACTCATTCTTTCCGTCTTGTCACGCCCGTAGCATCTCTTTAATTACACTCCAAGATGCACGTCGTATTTTCTTTGCACTACATGAAAAATGCCATAGGAAAACTGTGTGTGCGGCTCGATAGAAATGTCGACAGCACTGAGCGTCAGAGCTGGCAAAATGTGTAAAAAGCGTAATAAATTTTGCAAGAGAGCCCTATTTAGTTCACCTGTGATTCGCAATTTCAATTTCGAGATAGTTATCGTAAGCACGATTTGGAGGCAACGCTGTACCAAAAAAAGATTGTGAACTAGCCATATATTTGTAGTATATTTCTTGCATTTGAAGATAATGATTGATTAATTCAATATAAACCAATGGAAAGCGTTAACGCTTTGGTGCATTGAAAGCAAAATGCTCCTTAATTGCTTTTCATCTTGATTTGGGAGAAAAATTCTTTACTTTTCCCCCCTCTGTATTGATTTCACATTATCTACCGTCCCATTTTCAGAGTGTCCAATAACTAAAATCATTGATGATTCTCACGATCTGCATCTCTATATTGGACATAAATTTTAATCCATCTCATAACACTATACAGATAGACCACTTTATTGAGTGAAAGTTGAATCATCCGACTCGCATTTAAATGGTTATTATATTGCGAACTGAAACTTGATCTTTTATGTGGTTAATTTAGCGCGGATTATCGAACAAATAGTGTCATTACGGCAAACACTTCTGGTACAAATTGACTTTGGCGTTTGAAAGACAAACAATTGATAATAATCAGTCGATTGGGTGTAATTGCTTTTTCCACAGCGCAGATGAAGAGGTCAAATATGCTTTTCCCATCGATGATGCATGACTTGCATTGCGGCCATAAACATGTGTTGTTTTGCTTATGAGACCATTGATGATAAGAGGAGGATGAGATGAAGCTGTATGTTTAATTGGGGATGGTGGAATTTTCGCGCATTTCCATTGGAAGAAAGTTGTGAAACGTGTTCTGAAACCAAATTTGCTGCTCTTTTGACCACAAATCAAATCACAACACCTCGATCGTCTCCTTCTCTCTCTCTCTCTTGAGCGCCAGTGTGACCACGGGGCAGCGACTGGAGAAACATCCATAATGATGGCGAAGTGTATTAGCAGCAAATTGAATTAAAGGGAAGATGTGTTCCCGCGTAGCCTAATGGTGTGATTGGAAGTGAATGTGATGATACCAAAAAATCGAGGAGAGCAGCTCCACAAGTATGATGAATGATCGAATTCATTTGACTGGAAATTCATCACGAAATGTATTGAGGAGCTCTTTTTTTTTCTCCCCATCTCGTGTGATGATCCAGCATTTGGTGTATACTTTCATTTCTGTGGTCAAAAGTCTGATTACCTGTAATCTTGTGTGCGTGTAATTATATGGATTATGGATTCCGGGTGCGTTATTCACATGGTAAACACACAAATTAACATTGATGATGGCCACAAGTCAAAATATGGATGGCAAACAGACAGAAAACTCTTGCCAAATGAAGCCAGTATATCAATGTGTTTCATAGATAATTGCATAAGTGAAATTGTCCATATTTGCCAACTCCTCCTCTTTTCCTCTCCATCAGTGGCACAGCATATTTTCAGTCACATGTGCGCTAGAATATTGGAATATTGCGGGACTTTGAGAGTGTGTAAAACTTCTCACCGTTCGTCTTTTTTTATTACCATCTCTAAATGTCCTATAAATTGAACTCACGTAGACTGCTTTCACTGATGTTTATATTTGTCTTATCAATTTGAAAGGAACAACAGTCAAACACTGACAATGGGCGCAGCGCAACTCAATTTACACGCAAAAAGTATTCCAAATTCATACCTATATGATGTTTTGTAACAGATCCCGATCCGAAAGAAAATTAGCATATCCACAAAAGTGAATGTTTGGGTGCTCCTTCGCCTATCTCTCGATCAGCAAGACACACGCCAAGATGATTTTCACTTGAAGTATCATCCGAGGGCGGCTGAGATAAAAGCTCACCTCTCGCCCAACAATGAACCTTGCAATATTTTGGTATTCATAGAGAATCGTCATGGTTCTCCAAACATACACATTTTTGATGATACTCTTAACTCATTTCACCGGTGCGTCTTTCACCCAGTCATGTGAGATGTTTCCAGATCATGGAACACTTTCTCCTCCTTTATGACGAAGCTTTTGCACATTTTGGAAGAAGAGGCACGCAGACATGTCACACACGAGTCTTTCACCCAACATTCGCCTCATCCGCAATTTACTGGCAATATTGCTCTCAAAGTAGGCACAAAAGCCCGCATAAATCCACTATTGTTGTCAAATATCAATCAGTCATTAGCTTAGAAGAAAAAACTTCCGCTGAATTCGCTACCTTTTTGCAAGACTCTCTGCAATATGACAAGCTTTTAGATTTAGAGAGCAACTTGCGAAAGTATCTCTCTTCTGTTGGAACAAGACACTGAACATCTGTCCAGGAAGTGAATGCATTTTATCATTTCCAACCTTCTCAACTTTTGGAGCACATTATATTCTGAAAACTACACAGTTTATAAACTCGTTTCCTCCTTTTTTTCTTTCGTGTGTCACGAGAAATTCTTGCATTTGTCAAGATTGCAACAACAGCAAAAATCTCTCTGTCAATATTTCGGAAATCTCCTTTTAATTATGTTAATTAATGCTTAGCCACTAATTTTGGCATCTTTTACAGTCTACAATTTTATTGTTTGATAGAGAAAGAAGTCATTCATTGAGTGAGAAAAGAAATCCTATGCTGGACATAAAAGACTGCGGAACCTTTCAAGAAGAATCCACCAATGAATTTGATCAAAGACCAGTTTGATAGTGTTTTATGACTTTGAGTGGTCAGAATGAATGGGGAAGACGAAAAAAAAACTACACGTAGATTAACAGGAATTCTCTTTGATAATGCTTCAATGTAAGAAAGACGCGATGTAGTGAATTTAATTGCTACTTTATTCGAAAAATATTGCGGTAACTCAAAGTAAGTGATCGATTCCGTTGGAAGCGATCGTCCAAGAGGTGAATTAACTTGATATCGATGGAATGCGAATCAGTAATTGCACGATATTGTGGCGAAGACGCAAATGAATACCATCTGCAATGGCGATGATGGGTAATTTTTAAGACTCTGTACGCTAATCTTCAAGCCTCGCTCATTTTCCCGCATGAAATGTGTGTCATTATTCAATATTCCTGCTCTCTTTCGCAATTTATCCCTGCACAGATCTGCAAAACGTGTATGTGCATAAGTAGTTTTAAGAAATCATTAGAGCTTCGTATATTTTCTCGGTGCTTTTCATTAATAAGTTCTATCAGAATATGATATGTGCATTTTTCTACCCCTTCCCAATTATCTGATACCGAGAAATATGTTAAGAACAGAGAAAGAACTTGTTTAAGGATATTTTCACGCCAATAATTTGTGTACAATGACGAAAGTTTAATTGTTTGAGTGATTTCACACCAAAATATACTCTTTCTCTGTCCTCCAGCTTTATGCACTTTCCATGCAAAACTCTCTTGAAGCAGATGTCTGAAAATACGAGAGTAAATTTTACAATAACTTCAGTACAAAGGAAATTTTCCATCAAAGCACTTGCAAGATGAAATAATATCTTGCATTTGGGAATTCAAGGAGCTCAAGTGCACGAGTGAGATCAAACGAGCAAATGTCCATTGCAATCGCATTGCTCAACTTGCACTCTTGAGCGAAGGGGAAACTTTCACGTGAGATGGTTTGGATACAAATCTGTCCTGGGCATGTTTTAAGCTCCCCACGCCCAGTCGAAGTCAGTCAGAGACTCATGAAATTGCCCTGCAAACAAGTGGAGGAGAAAATTATCACAGAGTTTTAATCATTTCTCCATTGTTGCCACCATTCTTGTGCATTGTCAACTATTTGACTATTTGCAGTGATTTTTATTGCCATCGAGTATCACAAAAGACATGACAGACATCACAGTGCGACTACACCAAGATTGAGATCACGATTGATGATGATGTTATTGTTTACTTTCTTTTGTTGTGGTCCACCATAAATAAGATTGTCTATTCCGATGGTTTCGGTTGCGTCTGCAATTTATTCTTTGGCTCTTTTTTTCTCTTTCATACTGAACATCCGCATCAGCGGAAAACCTCAATTTTTTAACTGTCTTCCTTTCAAATGATTTTATAGACCAGAATAATCAAGTTAGCACAGGTAATCTTTGGAAGATTCAGATGTAATTCAGCATTGACCACTTTTATTATCACTCATCGCAGGAAAATTTATCGTCTCTCTCTCTCTCTCTCTATCATTTTCTTTGAGACTCGTGTGCTTGAATGTCTGCATAACTCGATAATGCCCTGAGGCGGGAACTTTTATGCAATTGCATTTGGAAAATGCTGTCATCGGGAACACTTTCTCGCATATCAGAGCGATTGAAAGTCATCTAAATTGACCATCTCACTTTCATTTCGCCTTTACCTTATACCATCCACGATGATCTCACCTCATCATCGTCTTGATCGCATACATCTGGCCAAGAATTGCGGAAACAGTTTGCACAGAGCACATTCAGAGTATCAATATAGAAATCCATTTTCAGCGCTGCTTTTTTTTCTGCAAATGCCACTGCAAAACTCCGCTTGTTGCCATAAGTCCTCACGTGAATGCGAAATGATATACAAAAGAGGAAAAGCAGCCTCAGATTCACTATACATTGCACGTTAAATTAATTACCTGTCGTCACCATTGAAGCGAAATACTGTGGGGGACACGCCTAAATGAAAATGTGATGAATTCAATCGTTTTGTGCTTCATTGAGATGTACGGTGAAAGGAGTTGAGAAGAATAATGCTGCATATTTTAAAGTAAAATAACGGAGAAAGAGATCAGTTTAAATTTCTATCGCTTCATTTATATGTATCGCTATCATTTTGCTCTTCCTCACATGTGGTTTGGTCTTCATTGTGAATTTCGTGAGTCTGCAGAGCTCGCCAAAACCCATATGTTTATGGCTGTTTTAAATTTCTGCTTAGGAGATTATTATTGAACAATGTCGATACATTTTTCTGATTACTTCCTCATCATAGACCACACATTGCCAATATCTTTCACTTTCGACCTCTGCATGCGATCAGCATTCTCGTGATCATCTCCCAGCATCATCTTTGCAGTCTTTTTCCCCCATTTCGTCACGTTTCACTGCTCGTCAATCCCGTAAATGGTCAAGTGAGTTCAATTGAAGAAGCGTGCTCAGAGTTTAATTTCAAGTTCACAAGCGCGATTATTTAATTGCACTTGCCAATTGCATAATGCAAACAATCACTCCCTTCCCCCTTTTTTCCGTGCATCTCTTGCCACACGGAGTGACTCGAAGGTCTGCGCGCCTTTGCACACTAAAACAGCTAGTCGAGCATAATGAAATTATGATTTATTATGCAAAATGCGTGGCTTCTTCTCACAATTTGCAGTGGCGCTTTTCTCAATCTCCAACACACACAATCTACTCTGCCGCAAGTCTTTACCGCGAAAATCACGGTCTTTAGACGCCACAGGTACTGTTATTAGTGCACCGCAGTTGGACAAGAATTTCTCATAGTCCGACTAATTATACTGGGTTCAACTGTCGTTGATCTTCAGCTGTGATTCTGCATGGCTTGTGTATGCAAAAAAAGCACCGAATCAAGAAGTAAACTCGCGTGTGGCTTTTAACCGTAATATTGATTGAATCTGGTTTGGAGAAAATCTTCAATCGCGAAGACTGGTTTGTTTGAACAGTCGGAAGAAGGTGTAAAGATACGAAATTGTATTCGTCACATTCCCTCCACTTTCTTTCAAATGCTCTCCAAATATCGTCTTCAGCCGCTGTGTGGCGAGAAAGTGATACTAATAACAGTTCGATGAGGGACAAAAAGGCTCTTCTGCAATTACACAAATATCTTAGTCTATTAGTAAAAAAAATATAACTTTCTATTTATGAAACTATTGTTGTGTTTATCAATTTATATACTAATTAAGGTTTTTTTTGTTGCTGTTAATAAGCATCCATTTATCTTGCCTATAATATTGGAATTCCACCGTGCATTTTTGCTTTGAAAAAATCCGTTAGAATCGTTAGAATATCATTAAAGATTAGTAAATGTCTTATAAACTCCAGAGAAAAATCACTCTGATATTTTCATTCAACACAGATATTTTTTTTCTCTAATTCAGAGAAATAATTTTGCAAAATAAACTAATGCATAACGCAACGCCCTGTCCAAAAAACCTCCAACACAATTTCAAGAGCAGCAATTAAATTTGCAATTTCGCGTTACTTTCCCTCTAATTAAGCTCTCATAAATTAAGTTACGTCTTTTCCCATGCAAACATTGCAAACCGAGCAAACCTCATTATACAAGAACGCCAAAATTGCGCAATAAGGATTTCTGCCTGTGATCTCGCGCAATACCGAGTAATTCTTGCGCTTTTCCATTGACTAACTCTCGATATGTGCGATCAGGAAGGAAATACTTAATGGTGTAATTTAGAATAATTAAAATTGAAGCTCATGCAGAGGCAGTAGATTGAGAATTGTTAATGCCCAGAGTCATTCTGTACGGGATAATTGCATTTAGCATATTAATGTAGTGATCTAATTCAACCCTTTTCTCTCTCTTGCAGAGTCTGCACAAAGCAACGTCCACGAAATGTACAAATATCTCAAGAGTACTGGACAGGTAAGTGAGGAAGTTTCCCCACTCAATTTGCCAAGAGAGCATGAAGAGCAATCCAAGAATCGACATATGCAAATTACCTTTCCTCCTGCCATTAAAGCCAAGAGATGTACAAAATATAAGTAATGACCGCGGCAACAGTAAATTGGAGTTGATTTTTCCTATTCCTCTTCATGCAATCATGCCTTTAATTAATTTACTACATTATTGATTAATTCTATTGGGACTCGTTCCGTTGTATTGCCGAATAGAAAGTGACAAAGATACTCAACGAAATATCTTGAAAAGATTCTCAATCATTGCCATTTCCGGCCAATTAGCATGTTCATTCTTCATTATCTACTTTTTCCGATGGCTGACAAATCACTGTGAATTTCAAGCACATTAAATTGGATCAAAAGAACTGGGCTATGAATCTCTTCATTGATCACCACTCATTCCAATCGGTTAATGGGTCGCTCTGTGGCAGTGTTCAATCGGTTCAATCAAACAAGACGCACTGAAAGTGCCTTAAACTTCATACAATGTGCATTGAAAACTGCCCATAAGGAAGATTTACAGCACAGCACAGCACAGAGAAAAGTGTGAAGTGAAGGGGAAAAAGGCATCTATAAGATTAGTACATCGCTTGCAAATAAGTCAATTAGGTGTTCGACATACGATAAAAGTCATTTAATGCAAAATATCGTGTGAGTTGCAATCGCTCGTCTTTCAATTTCCAACCTTCCGTCAATACATTATAATTGGCCTCTGCTCGAGCGAGAGAAAGAGTAATTATCCCATGCAAACCTTTTAGATGCATTTAGCTATCGATAAGAGACGACCAATTGTGTAAATATGGGTATTTTCTGCGGCGAGCGCGAGAAATGCTGTGCGCACAGCACATCAAACAGCGCAAAGCACAACCGTAACGAATCTCTGTGAATGATGAATTAATTGCGTATATTTTTTGACACTAATTAATTCATTATAGATTATGTTCCGGTGAGAGTAAAGGCATTATGATGATGTCTAATAAAATTACAAAACTCTCGCGTGTGTTTTCACGTTCTTTTTTTTTGGTGGTGTACACTTGAAACAACAACAAAAAAAAATTTATCATAAAAATACATTTTCGTGTGTGCAATTTTGAAAAGAAGAACCCACCTTTCCAAAATAAAGGACGGACGGAAATGAGTAAATCTCATTGTGATGATTGGTGAATTAATGTCGCATAAATTTCCTGATCCCATAAATTCATTTTATCATCACTGTGCCTATTGGAAGACACTATTTTCCCCTTTCACATTGACGCTTCTCACTGCTTTTTAGGCTTTTTATCATTGATTTCTGCCATATTCACGGCTTTGTCGCCACTTGTGAATTCTGCTGGCGCTTAAGTGTTCGGCAAAACAGTTGTAGGCACTTAAATATACACACTTCAACCGAAATCTGAAATCTTTCTAGACAACTTATATTCCGGCAGTTTTGCTCTTGATTTACATTCACACGTCTTGTCAGTTGAATGCGCAAACCTTCCAAAGTGAACAAAAGCCTTCTTTTCCTCTCTCTCCCTTTTAGATGAGTACACTGAGAGCGTGGGACTTGAACAACACACGGAAGGCCGACCTGGAGTTGGTCTTCTTCAACCGAGTGCCCAAAGTGGGCAGTCAGACGTTCATGACGCTGATACGACGCCTGGCGGCGGAGAACAGCTTCACCTTCCATCGCGACGCCGTGCAGCGCATCGAGACCATCCGCCTGTCGCCGGACCAGCAGCTCGAGCTGTCCGACATGATCGTGGACCTGCCGACGCCCAGCGTCTACGTGAAGCACGTGTGCTACACGAACTTCACGCGCTTCGGCCTGCCGACGCCCATCTACGTGAACCTCGTGCGAGATCCCGTGGAGCGCGTCATCAGCTGGTACTACTACATCCGGGCGCCCTGGTACTATGTGGAGCGCAAGCAGGCCTTCCCGGACCTGCCGCTGCCGGACCCGCGGTGGCTGCGCAAGGACTTCGAGACGTGCGTGCTCAATCACGATCCAGAGTGCACGTTTAACTACGGCGAGACTCACGAGGGCATCGGCGATCATCGCCGCCAGACGCTCTTCTTCTGCGGCCACGACGAAGAGTGCACGTGAGTAGAACTGAGTTCTTTCAATCTGCTTCTGACGCTTCTAATGGAGATTTCTGTCGATTTTTCAGGCCTTTCAACACTGTTGGCGCCCTCGAGCGCGCCAAATACGCCGTGGAGTCACAGTACTCAGTCGTGGGCGTACTTGAGGATCTCAATACGACGCTTTCCGTCTTCGAAGCCTATATTCCTCGATTTTTCAGAGGATCCAAAAACATCTACTGGGGTAAGCACGCACACACCAAATTGCGCGCAACTACAGATCAATTGACTGAAACATTTCTTCCTTTGCAGAGGAAGTCAATAACTTCAACAAGATTAACAGGAACGCCTTCAAGCCGCCAGTCAGTGAAGAGGTGAAAGATATTGTGCGACGCAATTTCACCAGAGAAATTGAATTCTACCAATTCTGCAAACAGAGACTCCACAAGCAATTCCTAGCAGCCAAACTACCATTAAATTGAGACTAACTCGTAATTCCTTCTTCTATTTTATTGTGTGTGTTTTTTTTTACTTCACAAACTTCAGTATAAATGAACTTGACTTCATCATTTCTCCCTCGACTTCGCTTTGTTCTCGGAAAAAAGACTAAAATCACAAAAAATACTTCAAATCCTATTTAATTCACAGCGTTTTGAATTAAATTCACTTCGTCCTTTTTTTACGTTATAGTTATTAAATTAAACCATACAAAGAGCATTTTTTTTGTATTTTGTATGAACATTTATAGAATGATCGTGATATGAGTAAATAAAAGATAAAAGCTCTCAATTCAACACGCTCTATCTCTCTTCCTCTCTTTCTCTCTCCTTTTCTTCATCTCTTGATTGCCATCGAGAACAGGTAAAATGAGAATAAAACTAACATTTCTTAGGTATGTCATTGTGATCAATTCATTGCTAATTCACTTATCAGTCGAATCTGCGTCGATCCTCGCTTTGTACGTAATTGTGTTGGTCAGGATTGATGCGTCCCTGAAAGGGAAAAGGAACAGTGACACAATCCAGAAAAGAGGAAAGACACTCACCTCAAGAACGGCTGGAAGAAGCTGCCCACATTGTCGATGTAAACTGGCAGTTTCTTAGGTACTTTCGGCATATCGATTCTCTGCACTATTTCACTGGTCACTTCCTCCCCGAAACCATTCACACCGTCCTTGTGCGTGTGTCTCTCGATCATCTGATAGCCCCTCCTCTCAGCCAGCCTCCTGATCAGATCTTTGGTCGCGCGCAGTTTGGGATTCCCGTCCAATTCAATCACTCGTAGGATTGAATCGTCCAACAGCAGGAACTTCTCCAAGTGATGCTGAGCTTCAGTCAACTTTACTCCGTCCAGAGTGAAGCCATTCGCCTCGGCGGACACGAGAACGTCTTTTATGTAGTTCTCCATAAGAGCGACAAAGGGTAATTGATAGACTTCGCGATGCAACTTCGATCTGATCTCGAAGACTCGAAGGATGTTGCTCATGTCATCTATATTATAGACAATGTGAGACACTCCATCCCCGTCGTACGCAATCTTTGCCCCTGAAAATATCCAAATACAAACACATTAGATAAGATGCAACGCCTCTGACACTCGGCGGAAATTCACCTTGGAAGAGAGACAGGAAATCAAGCGATATTTCGATCGCGTGCTTGAGGTAGAAAATGTCTCGGACAATGTAATCCCACTTATCGACATCCAATTCGCAGAAGGAATTGCTGACAATCTGAAAAAAATAACATTTGCCTTATCCGTTTAACCGAAGTTCTCAATACTTGCATTCATTCACTATCCAAGAGAAACATTCCATGCAAAGAAGAAGAAATTTCCAAGAAATCACAAATTGAAATGAGTATTGAAAAGTAAACAAATGACCAGAAACGATTCAGATAAGCCAGACAATCACGGTCTATAATCGCACGTGACGGCGTGGTTTTGTATTCCAACAAGGGGAATGAAATATAAGAATTTGAGGAAAAATAAACAGAGATTGCATATAAGATAATGGGTTACTTTAGATTGTCACCATTAAATGATTCAATAAATAAGTAAAAACAATTTAGAAGATATTTTACCTCAGCGAGAAACATGTCCTCCTTGGGCAGAAGCTGCCTCAGCGTCTCCTCATCGCCCAGGATCAGTGCCTTGATGATCAACACGCCCTTAATGTGCTCCTTTTGGCAATCACTCAGTGGAATTCTCTGGAAGATCCTCTCGACCAGCGCACAAGAAGTCTCCTCGTGCTGCAGAAGACAAAGCAAACGCATCACAGCAAATTCTGGGCCGAATTTCACAGAAAATCAACTCACCTTCCACGACTTATCGCGACCCGTTTGGACGAACTTGTCCCACATGTGGGAAAATGGTCCGTGACCCAGGTCATGAAGCAGTCCAGCGATCTGAAAGCAATCTCGAGTCAGTATAATTTGAGCATGCCGACACAGGGCACAGGAAACTCACAATTGCATATTTCTTGTATGACTCATCGATGCATTTGCCTGAGTTCTTCTCCAGCACGGCAAGCAGGCGCTGAACAAGGTGAGCGACACTGCAAAGAGAAATTTCGCCTATTAGGCATTTTGCATTTCGCACTTTCACCGTGTTTTTAGGTACCCAAGGCAGTGCTCGAAGCGGGTGTGGTTTGCTCCTGGGAAGACATGACTGGCCAGCCCCAATTGCTTTATATTCCGGAGGCGCTGAAACTCCGCCGTGTCAACAATGCTCCGGATATAGGAGGGAAACTTTAGCACGCCGTGCACGACGTCAACCACCTCGAAGGACATGGCTTTGCAACTACCGTCGCAATCCTGAGAGACAATCCAACACTTTGTGGCAACACTTCCTCACTTCAACACGTTTTCAGTGGGATAAAAACACCTGCACAAAAACTCACGATTACACAAAAGTTCATATACTTTTTCCAATTGCCTTGCAAGTACACAAGGAATATCTAACCTCAATCTTTTCCCACTAACAAACATCAGCGCGCTCTTGCGGAGATATTCCGCTGGCGCCCAGCTGATTATTTCTGAGGTTATATCAGTCTGTTGTGCGCGTCTTTTCGAGCGTGTCGTGTTTATTTTGAGCATTTTACTGTTTATTTTCAATGGATTCCCAAGAAAACACTTCTGCGGAGGTCATGAGTGCAGACACCACTGAGATTGCTAAGGAAATCAAACCTATAGACAAGATTTCTGTCCATAGAATATGTTCCGGTCAAGTGAGACTCCAGTATTTTGGGTTTTGATAAAACAGACTTTTTCACACTGTTCCTCAATTCCAGGTGATCCTGTGTCTAGCGTCAGCTGTGAAGGAGCTTGTGGAGAATTCCTTGGACGCAAAAGCCACATTGATTGAGGTGAAGCTGAAAGATCAAGGCCTGGAATCTGTAGAGGTTTCTGACAACGGAATTGGCGTGGAAAAGACCAATTTCAAGGGTCTGGGTAAGTAATTTTGCAGGAATGTCGAGGATTACATCTAACTCAGCATATTTGCTTTACAGTTGCCAAGTATCATACGTCGAAGATTCGAGATTTCAAGGATTTGGAACAAGTGGCGACTTTTGGCTTCCGAGGAGAGGCTCTGAGTTCTCTCTGCGGCCTTTCCGACATGGTGATCATCACCAAACACCACTCGGCTGTCTGTGGCACACGATTGGAGTTCGACAATCGTGGCGACATCACCGGAGAGTTGCCTTGTGCCCGCCAAACAGGCACAACTGTGCAATTGCGCAACCTTTTCGGCCTCTTGCCTGTCCGGAAGGCAGAATTCCGGCGGAATGTGAAGAAGGAGTTCACCAAGATGTGCACCATCCTGCAGAGTTACTGTCTGTCAGCCACTGGCGTGAAGATCATCTGCACAAACATCACGCAGAAGGGCTCAAAGACGACAATCTTCCACACGGAAGGCGGAAAGAGTGTCATTGACAACATCAGGAATGTTTTTGGGGCCAAACAAGTGGCAGATTTGGTGGCCATCAAGCCACCACTGGAGAGAGATGATCGGTTCAGCCAAGAGACGTTTCAGGAGTTGGATTTGGCCGATGTCAGCACAGATGATTTGCAGAATCTCAATGTTGCCCAGTTCACGATCAACGGATGGATTTCAAGTTGCGCTCACGGATCGGGAAGATCTTCTCGCGATCGTCAGTTTATCTACGTGAACTCACGTCCGTGCGACTTGAAGAAGATCATCACGATGGTGAATGAGATTTATCACAAGTACAACGTGTATCAGTTTCCCTTCGTCTATCTGGACATAAGAATGGAGAATTCACGCGTGGACGTGAATGTGACGCCAGACAAGCGACAACTCTTCATTGGGAATGAAAACATCTTGCTTTTGGCGCTGAAAATTGCCCTTCTGCGGACATTCAATGAGTGCGCGTCGACTTATAAGATCGAGAAGCCCGAAAAGTCGCTCAAAGTGGTGCCGAAGAAGAGCGAAAAGGCGGAGGAAGAGGACGTTTTTCTGCCGTCAAGTCAGGAGAAGTTCACCAAGAAACTCTCTCAATGGAAGGCAACGGGAAACACAGATGACCAGGAGTGGCATGAGAAGAGAGGCAAGAGGAAGATCATGGATGAACTGGAAGTTAGGAAGGCAAAGATGAAGAAAATGCAGGCAACTCTCGAAGCTCCGGAACCGGAAAGAAAAACGAGAATCTCCTGTGGCAGCACACCGAAGAGAGACGTAATCTTTGAAGCGGTGACACCAAAAGCTGCGGAACCTGTGAAATCTCCTAAGAGAAGAGATGTCCTGGAGGATAAAGTCATCGATGTGGATTCTGTGGCAAAATCTCACTCTTCTCGTGCCAAAATTCGCCAAATGTCGCAAAAACTCTCAATCTCGATGGCAGAAATCCGCGCAAAGTGCCAACAAGAGGCGCAGGCGAGGAAGGAAGCTGGACAAGTGGACAATTTGAAGAGGTTGAAGTTCAAGGCGAAGCTCGATCCCAACATAAACGACGCGGCTGAAGAGGAGCTCAGCCGAGAGATTGACAAGAACTCATTTTCCAGCATGAAAATCATCGGGCAGTTCAATCGCTCCTTCATCATTGCGCGCCTCGATGACGATCTGTTCATCGTGGATCAACACGCCACGGATGAGAAGTACAACTTTGAGCAGTTGCAGGCGACAGAGAAGATCCAATCGCAGCCGCTGGTGATTCCGCAGAGCCTGGAGTTGAGTGCCGTGAAGGAGCTTCAGCTGATGGACAATCTGGATGTCTTCCAGCGCAATGGCTTTCACTTCGCCATCGATCGCGAGGCGCCGACAACGAAGAGGATCAAACTCGTGCAGAAGCCGCAGAGCAGAAACTGGGATTTCGGCGTGCAGGACATCGAGGAGCTTCTCTTTATGCTGGAGGACGCTCCGGCTGGCGTCACGTGCCGTCCGTCGCGCGTCAGGGCGATGTTCGCCTCGAGGGCGTGCCGGAAGTCCGTGATGTTCGGCATGGCGCTCAAGCGGAGCGACATGAGACGTCTACTGGATCACATGGGGCAGATCAAGCATCCCTGGCACTGTCCGCACGGACGACCGACCATGCGACACCTCCTGAACCTCAGCATGATCGGAGACTGAATAAATTGCTAAGCTAAATTGAGAAGCTGTGGAATGTCTGAAGTGTCTGACGCCACTGATAAATTGGCAATAGAATAGGTATATTTGAACAGCCAAAGAGTCTACAAGTGAGTCCAGTTGATTCAGGCCTGGACGGTGACTTCGTCCTCCTTCGGCGCCTGGCGCTTCGCCTCCAAGGACTTCTCCCAGGCGTACTCGAAGGGATACGGCAGTGACTTGTGCTCCCAGCGAGCGTTGGCTCTGAACTCCGCGTCCTCGCCGTGCACGCCCTGGTTCGTGGCCACGTGCTCGGGCACGCCCTTGTTGTGCAGCCTCTCCAGCATCGCCGCGTTGTGGCTGCTCGGGTCGAGTCCCGTGATGGAGGCGAAGAGCGCCTCCTTCGTGGCCACGCCCGGGACGCCGCGCCTGTCGAAGAAGTCGCTGATGTTGCCGCAGTCGCGCATGAGGAACTCCAGCGCACTGGGATGACCGGGCTCCACGGACTGCGCCACGTCGATGATCCAGCACTTGCCCTCGTGATAGAGAATGTTGTACTCGGACAGATCGGCGTGCACGAGCTTCGCTCTGCTGTACAGGCGCTTCATCGCCTCAACAATCTCCTCGTACGCCACAATCCAGTCCGCCTCGCTGAGCGTGGCGTCCTTCAGCTTGGGCGCAGCCCTTCCCTGAGCCCCAATGAACGACATCACGAGCACGTGCTTCCGGAGCAGCACCACTTGCGGACACGCGATCTCGGCGCGCTGCATCCGCATGAGATTGTGCATCTCCTTCTCCGCCCACTGGTGGATCACCGTTCTGGCGTTCTGCTTCGAGAAGCGATCCCGGAACCTGAAGTCGTCCTTGATGTAGCGATCGCGCTGCTTAAACTCGTTCAGGGTCGTCTTGAAGATCTTTATGGCGCACTCCGCGGGCACACAGAGCTCTCCTTCGTACGCAGCGTCGCCCTCGGCGTGCAGGATCAGCGCCTCCTTGCCCGTGGACACGATCCCGTTGATGCGCTCCAGCACCTGATTGGACACAAACTTGTACAGAATGTATCTCGTGGGCTCGTCCAGGCCCATCTCGGCCGTCGCCACCTCCTCCTTCCGGTCGTGCATCTTGTGGCGCTTCCCCTTGCGGCTGTAGCTCTTCAGGTGGTTGTACACCTCATTCGACAGCTGCATGTCGAAGCCCGCTCCGTCTCCGGTGGGGAAATCGGGCGGGAAGGACATCACTCGACAGGCGTTCCTTATGCCCGTCATCCTCGCATTGTGCTTCGTCACCGTGCGCCCCTCCTCGTCGTGCTTGTAGCCACACTTGGGGAAGCTGCCGTACTCCTTCTCCATCGTCTCGAATCTGTCCCAGTCCGCCTTCTCGCTCTCCTGCTCCTCTTTCGCCTTCTCATCGTCACTGCCGCACGCGAGCTCATCCGGGATGATGCGGAAGTTCTTGTAGGACACCTTCACCTTGGCATTCTGATGCTTTTCCACCTTCTTCAGCTCCTGATCGTACTCCTGGTCGAACTGCGCCTGAAGCACCTGAGCAATGATCGCATCTGAGTCGCAATGCTCACCAACTCCAGACGCCAGTGCCTTCAGGACCTCGTCCGGCAGTGCAGCCGCTGCTGCATTAACGTCTGAGTCCTTCGTAGACAACTCCTCGTACAGCTGTCGACCAAACTTCTCATTCTCGCGGTTCTGCAGCTCCCTGGCCAACTCTTCTGACATGATTTCAGCGAAGTTCACTGGCTCCACTGCGGCCAGAGTCTTCCACGGCGACGACATCCTGCACACGGAACAGAGAGAAAGACTTTTCGTACAGGAATTCCACCCATGAAATCACTTAAGCTCACCTGCTGATGCCCAGAAACTTGAATTTTCCCTTATTGCGAAATACAAAGAAAACACGACAGCCCAATAGCCGCCGTTGAGTTGTGAGCCGCAAAATTTTCGGAAATGTCTCGCGATAAATATCATTTAATCACAAGCAGGTAATTAAGGTAAAGTGTAAATCACAAATATTAATGAAAAACCTCCGTAAATTATGGTAAATACAAGATTCTAAAATTATTGTAAAAAGCTGAAGTCAATTTGGCGCCACTTCACCTCAAACACCGTCGATATTTTCTTCCGAAATCGATATCGACATCCGGACGTCAAAACGGTCAAAACAAAAACACGTGTTTTGGAGTGCTTCAGGACCGTTTTCTCTCCTTGTTATCACTAAAATGGACGTTGAAGAGCAAAATCCCATGGAGCTGGACGAAGAGGAGTCCTCAGGCGAGGAGTCTAGCGAGGAGAGTGAGGAGGGAGAGGTGTATTTACCGGGAAAGCCGCTGGAGAACGATGAGGAGTTGGTGTGCAACGAGAGTGCATATGTGATGCTGCATCAGGCGCACACGGGGGCGCCGTGCCTCAGCTTTGACATCATTCCCGACGACTTGGGGGCGCGCAGAGAGGAATTTCCTCTCACGGGATACCTTGTGGCAGGAACACAAGCCGCACGGACGCACGTCAACAAGTGAGTTGCTTTTCTGGGTGTTGTTTTGGTGACTTTTCTGACCATTTCGGGCATCTCTTGCAGTGTCATCGTGATGAAGATGAGCAATTTGCACAGGACGAGCAAGCAGAGGGACCCGGACGAGGAGTCAGAGAGCGAGGAAGAGGATGAAGAAGTTCCGGCAGAGAAATTGCCTGAGATGCATTGCGCGCTGATGAAGCATCAGGGCTGCGTGAACAGGATTCGCGCCACTCGCCATGGGAACTCTGTCTTGGCGGCCACATGGAGCGAACTGGGTCAAGTGAACGTGTGGAATCTCAATCAGCAGCTGACTCTGGTGAATGATTCCAAATCGCTGGCCAGTTACGAAAAATCCGGCGAGGCGAATCGCGCGAAGCCGCTGTTCACATTCTCTGGTCACCAGAAGGAGGGCTTCGCGATGGACTGGAGTCCCACAGTGGCAGGAGCGATGGTCACGGGCGACTGCCGGCGGGACATTCACGTGTGGCAGCCCGAAGAGGGCGGATCGTGGAAGGTCGATCAGCGGCCGCTGGTCGGACACACAGACTCCGTGGAGGATCTGCAGTGGAGCCCCAACGAGCGCAGCGTCCTGGCATCGTGCTCCGTGGACAAGAGCATCAGGATTTGGGACACGCGCGCCTCGCCAGCCAAGGCATGCATGCTCACGTGCGACTCGGCGCACGACAGCGACGTGAACGTGATCAGTTGGAACAGGAACGAGCCTCTGATCGTGAGCGGAGGCGATGATGGAGTCCTGCACGTGTGGGACTTGAGGACCTTCACCTCCAAGACGCCCATCGCCACGTTCAAGCACCACACGAACTACGTCTCGACGGTGGAGTGGCATCCGGCGGACTCGAGCGTCCTGGCGTCGGGAGGCGCGGATGATCAGATCGCGCTGTGGGATTTGTCCGTGGAGAGAGATTCTGGTGCCACTGGAGACGAACAGGCGAGCGAGGAGCTGCGAAATCTGCCGCCGCAGCTGCTGTTCATCCACCAAGGCCAGACGGACATCAAGGAACTGCATTGGCATCCGCAACTGCCCGGCGTCATCCTGTCCACAGCGAACAGCGGATTCAACATCTTCCGCACGATAAGTGTGTAGTTATGAATAAAGAAAACCGCAAAGGCAACTATTTCGTTTCTTATCCTTTTTGTATGCCTTTTCATCGTTTGAAGCCAGTCTGATGATTTAATACCTACAATAGCGAGTTGATTGTGGCTTAAACTGCCCACACATGAATCCTATCGACTAGTAGACGCTTCTATAAGACGATTTGTCGCGCACGATCACTGTTGATTGACGCTGCGCCTTCTAATAAACAGTAAATCCTCTCGAATCTTAATTTCACCGCTGCTCAGTGAAATGAACTTGGAAACGCACATAAAGGAGGAAAAGGACGATTCTGAGGATCGAGAGAATTCATTGTCAGTGATTTTGTGAAGGAAGAAACTGTCGTTGGCAATATATTGAGACAATGCACAAGAAATCTCGTGAGATTTGCTGAATTTTCCGAAACACTTTCAGTGGAAAAGGCTTTAAGAAGCACGTTCAGAGAGTTCATAAGGAATCGACGGAACACAATGAAATACCTGGAAATCCTTGAAATAAAGTTTCTGAATTTCCAATGGTCATTGCCTGAAAGGATTTTACAAGAGAAGAAACCAATCGTGATTCGAGTTCAGACTGGGAATGTCGGCGAATTCGCAAAAGATTCTGCAATTTCACACAAATCTTCAAATCCAGAAAACGGAACTTACATTTCTTTTCTGATCTTGATTCTGACTCTAGAATTTTATCTCTTTTGATTCTTAACGACGAGAATTTTGAATGAAACATTCAATATTTTGCAAATTTTCAGCACTTTAATGATTTTATTAGCGCTAAAAAATGTTTATTTTAACATCAAAAAGCTGTGAGAATATTTATTTTGCTTTTCACCAGCTTTTCAATGTTGAATCATGTAAATCTTTGGACATCAAATCAATTGAATACAATACTTACGGCTACTTAAGCTTAAACTGACCAATTTGGCTCGATTAAATTATCCTAAGGATTCGTGCGCAAAGTTGATGTCGCGAGAACATTAACTTCTTGATGGTGAAACTCCGGCTTCTCTAGAATTCCATTATTCTGGCGGATCGGCGGATTGGGAAGTACTGATCTCTGATCGTACGCATTCTGGAAGATGAATGGCCAAGTCTGGAGGGTGAGAGAGAACAATATGTATAATAAAATTGGAGTGTTTATTTAGCACTTGTCGCATTGAGAGCACCCGAAATATCTATTTCATTGCGAGAGGCATTTTCCAAGGAGGAACACAAGAAAGACAAATAAATAAAGTAGGAAAGAAAACCCCTTCAATCCTATGAAAATAGTGACCGCTTTGCGTGCAAGAAACTCGTGTTTATATTCGACGGCACATTTGATAATTTCCGGGCAAAATTCAGAAGCCAGTCGCGTCTGCGATTGCTTCACGCCCGAAAGTCTCGCCATGAATGGAACAGTGAACGGCTCCAAGGGACGATGGCAGAAGGGGAAGAATTTTGACGAGAACCTTTTGGAGGATGACGGGAAGCGCAGTGTTGATTGTGGCGCACAAGGAAAACTGAGGAAGAAGCTGTAAAATCCCACGGAATGTGTCCAGCTGTTGTCTATCAAAGTGAGAGTATTTTTGGAAGACAATTTGTTTAATGAGTCAAAGAGAAGAGCCATTAACACTCTCTCAATCTCTTTCGCATAAGCGACTCTTGCCTGAATATTTAACTCAATTTTCCCGAAGGTAAAAATGCTCATCTTCGGTGGGATTATTAATTTTAGCCACAATTTAACCTGCTCTGGGATTTCAAGTGTTAAGTACAGTCTTATTTTGAGAAGAGAGCACTTATCGCTGGTCTAAAGGAAAATTATAATGTCTATAAAATAGACATTTTGAGGAAGAAAAAAACTATAAACTAAAATAATATCAAGTAATACTTTTAGATTAAATGGTTTTCACGTGGATTTTTTCTTATCTTTGAGTGATAAAGCAAATTTTAAAGATAATTCATGTAATTTTCGTTCTTTTAACACACAATAGAATTCTTCTAATCAAAGTGCAGTTGCAGAAAAAAGTTCAACAGTTTTTTAACAGCAAATAAGAGAAATAAACCTATACTTTATTCAAGTCTTTTAATGGAGATAAATGCTTTAATTGGATTGAATTAAACCAAGATTAAACCGCGATTTTCACTTTACAATCCTCTATAAAATATTAGAGCTGTTCTGAAGTTTAAAAAATTGACTGGGAATGAAAGTTGATGACAATGATTGAATGCTTTTCTTACCAGATTATTGTGATGAGAGGCGATCTGGAGATTGTCCTCGATTGGTTCACCGGCCAAAATCGCCTCCAGTTGCTGAATATATCCTTTGGCCAGGCGCAGCGTGTCCAGCTTCGACAGTTTAGTGTCCGGCGGCACCCAAGGAAGTTTGGTCTTGAGACGACAAAAGGCCGACGAAAGCACTCGCATTCGCGCCCTTTCGCGAGCATTCGCGGCGTTTCTCTGCACAGGCAATTGCTGCTGTCCTGCACCGTCTTCGCCCGAAAGGATCACGCATTACGCATCAAGTCACAAGGTGCTCTTCCCACCGATTCCCCGTTTACCTAAGTCATCCTCATAGTCGTCCTCGAACATATCACAACTCGTTGACGATGATCTCTTCCTGCGCGGCATCTTCGGCACTCACACTTCACGTCACATCATCTCTTTTCCCACTGAAAAATCTCCGCTCACATCTCGATCGGTGATCTTTTTCCCTGTGACGAAGGCAAGAATCATTTTGTTGCGAGGGCGGAGAGATTTTCTGGGGCGTGTTCAGAGTGTCTATTTGAGGAATTGCCGGTGTCATAGAATCTCTCAGCTTGAGCAACGCCCAGAAGTTCGCAAGAATTTAGGAAGATCACTCCGTGAAGGTTTACGCACGGCGCATTTACGTGATATCGCGCACATGGTGAGTGATAAGGATTCCCAAAAAATCTACCTGGTAATGCTGAGATTCCAGTGCCCAGAAAACACACTCAAAAATGCTGAGAATGCATGACAAGTTGTGTATGATAACCAATTATCACATCATTAGCCGAACAAATCCTCCGAGGCGCACAAAAGATAAATTGCAGCATGACTTTCACATTGATTTTCTCTTTCCATTCTCACCCTCTCGCTCGAGTCTTCGCAGGAAGGATTTGTCTCCTGAAATCCGATCCTTTTACAATATTCTCCAGACAGAGGAGAAAAATTGAGGTCCAGGCGAAAGTCGATGAGCCAAATGTGTCGTCAACGCCCCGAAAAGTGGGAATAATTTATGTGACTCTAATCCGCAAGCAATTAAGAAGACAAATTGGTCTTTAATAACAATATTCTTTATTTCCCCATTTTTTTATTTTATTTTTTTTCTCAATAAAATTTTACAATCCACTTGTGAGACAAAAACTTCTCTTCCCTTCTTACAAATTATTCCCATCAATATTCTTCTCTTTCTCCACAAATTTTGCTTTTTTCTTTCTGCACAAAAGAAAAAATGCCTCAAATTGTCTCAACAGAAATTCAATGAAACTAAATGTAATTCATTTTAATGTAATAAAAAAATGCTCATTTCTCCTGAAGTTGTTGATTAACGTTTTACACACAGCTTTTTAATACAAAAAAGTCCCGGAATTAACTTGTTCACATGCTTCTCATTATATCAGCTAAAGAGAGTGTAAAAAAGGAAAGATTATACGATAGAATTTAGAAGGAAAAAAACGCTGATCCCTGCGCAACAAATTTCACATAAGCATCGCATCGATTTCAATTGCGGAAATAGTATCTGTAGATGATTGTCGCCACCACGCCAATCAGGAGCGGCAAAACCCACGACTTCATCGAGTTCTCCTCGGCTTTTGGTTCAGTATTCCAACTCTGAGTGCTCTTCTCGGGAACCTTCTTCCTCTCGGCCTCGACAAGTTCGCCAATCTTGAACTTCTTCATCATTTCCCTGCGAAAGAATACAAATAGAAAAAGGTCGTAGAGCAATTTCAACCATTGCATGCGTCGATAAGCGAGAGTGAATAATATTTTCTCATTTTCTCCTGAGATCAAACTTTCTTTTTCTATTGTTCTCCAAAAGCCAACACATGGTTTTCATATATTTTCACCATTTTCACATACTCGCAATTCATTAATTCCCTTATGTATTCACTCGATTGGCTCAAATTTATGAACAATGATACGAAAATACGGAACAAATTAATTCTATTAGGAAATCAATAGATAAACATTTGGTTTTTGAGAGTTCAATATCCTGAAAATGACACAAATTCTATAAAGTATGTCTATTTCTTCCACCGAACTTTGCTTTCCGCACACTCCATTTATCATTTCTTCAATAGTACTCATAATTTTAGAATTTTGATAACAAATACTGAACATTTTGCTATAAATCAGTCTCTCTTCAGTCTCACGCTGACGCGATAAGAAATGCTGCTAAAAATAATACAAATTTGCACTGTTTGCACACTTATCAATTGATATCTTCATCTGTATTCAAGAAAAATACACGATTTATTGCGTAATTCCTCATTTCTATGATTCATCAAAATAGTAAAAACTGACGTGAAATAAGAAAGGAACGTCAATAGACTTTTTTTTTGCAACCTTTCACTCAACTAAAATGTAAAAGAGATGACAAACAGATTAGATACATCGCAAAAACGGACAAAAACAAGGTTTTATTTACTCATATCTAAGAGATAATTTAAAGGATAGTTTCTTTAACGCATTCAAGGCTTTACGCGAATGAAATTAACTTGACAAATATTTAATTATCATCATGAAATTCACTCTTTTTCCCGGAAGAATCAATCTTCTAATCACTATTTCATTGAATTATTACTTATTTACTTAACTTTTATTGCATTCAATTTAGATCCAACAGAATTTTTTCATTGATACTCAAAACAAATGAGTGAATAATGACAAACAAAGCGATTTTGCTGATATCGACCAAAATAGTCGCTAATTCTTCTTTACTTTCTTAGTGTGCTGCAGTTTTTATGTATTCTGGAGAGTGTTTATTTATTTAATTGTGACACAAAGCCGCAAATGAACTTTTCCACTCATTCCTACGTATTTTCAATGCAAATCTCTTTATAAAATGCTATCAGAATTATCTCTTTGCTTATCAATTGTACAAAATCAAACAATCATCATTACACATTTTTCAAGGCTCTTATCTTGAGATTTGCCATGACTAAAATTTGCATCTTTCACGCGTGGATAAAGAGAGTCTGCGACATTATTTCTCACTCGACACTGTAAATCTCCAGACTAATTTCGGCCTTTGCGACAGATTCGTGTTGTCAGGAGATCTTCGCCGTGCCTTCCAAATGTCTAACTCATGCCCTCGACATTCCAGGCTAATTTCGGGCCAGACGCGCACACTTGAGCAACATTTCGGACGGTGAATGACGATGGAATACGTTAGAATTGTGCAACAACACCGACTTGCAGACCTTGACGCAAAACAACTCACCTGGCGTCCGAACTGTGGCCGACATCCTCGAAGGCTTCTGTGGCTTCGCGTCCCGCCTGCTCCAGGAGCACCTCCTCGCCACCGGGATGCTGAAACCGGGAGCGGACAAATCATGTTGAGCCAGTGATAAAAGAAGGAAAAACACTCAGCCAGATAAGCGAAGGTTGCGAAGGTGGACAAGAGCAAAAAAAGGTGAGGCAAAAGCACAAGTCATGGTGAAAACGGAAAAACAGAGACGCATTTTCTGTCCACAAAATATGACTCTGTGGATATTCTCCTGGACATTATCGCCACGTTAAGCATGTATTGGGAGTGTGGAATTGATTCAGAGACGCAAAAGTACATGCGAGGCAAATTATGTAATGCGCGACAAAAAAAACTTGATGACTTTGTGACGAGATCACGTCTTGGGAGATTTTTCATCTCTACGGCTGCTTTTCCCCGTTTTCTCCATGACCTGTTGCAGCCACTGGCAATTACCGCCGACCGCGGGTCCCGTGCGGTGGGGCAAAGTGACGTGGGGCACACGAGAAGGGCGTAATCTCACCTCATTGAGGAACTCCGTCACATCGTAAATACTATTGTGAATGACAATCCAGGTGGTCTTGTTTGAGTTGTGCTTCGCCACCTCGGCCAGGGTGTACAGTTTGACTTCACTCATTGCTGCGCGACTTGTATTTTCCTCGACTTTTCGCCCTAAAATGCTTCCGCAATTGCGAGCAAACCGAACGCGATTCAGCACTTTTGACAGTGTGTGACGTCACTGATGCGCTTCGCGGCACGGCCACAGGAAGCAGCGCCGCGCACCGACGACAGCGCCAGTGGTGCATATTGGCAACTCGTGGGCGAAAAACAGTTTGTGTTTTTTTTTTCGTCGAGGCCGAGAAGGTCGCACGTTGAGCGGGTTTTTGTGGAGTTTTCAGTCTCTGAGTGATCGCGATCGTGTTTATTCCCGCTGATTGCAGAGTAATTGACTAGATGAGCGACAAACGTGTTCTTGTTATCGGCAGCGGTGGTCGCGAGCATGCCATTTGCTGGAAATTGGCACAAAGCCCGCGCGTGGAGGCCGTTTTCTGCCTCCCCGGCAATCCTGGCTTCGCCGAATCCCCCAAAATCCACCTCTTGACCAACTCCTCCACGCGCCACGAGGACATCGTGGCACTGTGCCAGGAGAAGGCCATCGATCTCGTGATGGTGGGGCCCGAGGATCCTCTGGCGAAGGGCCTGGGGGACGATCTCAGGGCGGCTGGCGTTAAGTGTTTCGGCCCAGGCAGCGCCGGCGCGCAGATCGAGGCGGACAAGGAGTGGGCAAAGAAGTTCATGGTGAAGTACAACATTCCAACGGCTCGCTTCGCAGCCTTCACGGACGCCGAGAAGGCGAAGAGCTTCATCCGCGGCGCCCCATTCGAGGCGCTCGTGGTGAAGGCCAGCGGATTGGCGGCGGGCAAAGGTGTCGTCGTGGCAACGTCGCGAGAGGAGGCTTGCGCCGCCGCCGACGAGATGCTGACGTCCAGGAAGTTCGGCGCGGCGGGATCTGTGGTGGTGATCGAGGAGAAGCTCACGGGCGAGGAAGTGTCCGTGCTGGCCTTCGTGGACAGCACAACTGTGAAGGTCCTGCTGCCCGCGCAGGACCACAAGCGCCTGCGAGATGGCGACATGGGGCCCAACACAGGCGGAATGGGCGCCTACTGTCCGTGCCCGCTCGTGACGCCCGAGCAAATGGACGAGATCACGCGAGATGTGCTCCAGAAGGCCGTCGCCGGACTGCGAAACGAAGGGATTCCCTATTGCGGTGAGTGTGCTGAACATCAATTGAGTCAATGAACCTCTCGACACATTTAATCAGGCAATGAGACTGCCCGAAAATCACTCCTATTGTGCAGTTCAGTGGCGTCGGAAGGCCTTCTTCATAAGCCTATGAGATTACAGAGCGCGACCTAATTCTCATTGAACTCTTTATTGTATTTCATTGGGATTCTGAGCTTCCAAAAAATGACTATTTTCCGAGGAATGATTGAAAATCAAATTTGAGATCATTAAGAGCTCAATTTACATCAGAATTTTTTGCCTCCTTTTCGGTATGACTAAAAATGCAAGCGTGAACTGAGATTTTGCATCATCTCGATGAAATTATCGTCATGAAGTGCACTGGATTCTGTTATTTCCTGGCCCCCATCGGCCCCTGTTGACCCCCAAGTCATTTTTCCCTTTCCTCTTATCATGTTTACGCTGATCGCTCAGTTTCACTGAGAGAGAGAAAGAGAGAAAGAGTCGATGTGATCAATATTAAGTTGTTTTTCCATAAAAATTGTCTCGCAGGAATCTTGTATGCTGGCATGATGCTCACTCCGCACGGCCCAAGAACCCTCGAGTTCAACTGCCGCTTTGGCGATCCGGAGACTCAAGTGATTCTGCCACTGCTGGACAGCGATCTGTACGAGATCGCGCTGGCGTGCTGCGAGGAGAGGCTGAACGAGGTGCAGATCCGCTGGAAGACGGATCTGCATGCGGTGGGCGTGGTGATGGCCAGCCGTGGCTATCCGGAGACGTCAACGAAGGGCTGCAAGATCACGGGCTGTGACAAGGTGACGACGCAGAGTGGCAAGATTGTCTTCCACAGCGGCACGCGGATGAACGCCGAGGGATGCTTCGAGACGAACGGCGGGCGCGTGCTGATCAACGTGGCGCTGGGCAGCTCTCTGGCCATGGCAGCGAGTGAGGCTACGGCTGCTTGCGAGGTGATCCAATTCGAGGGGGCGCAGTTCAGGAGAGATATTGGCCAGAAGGCGATTGTCAAGTAAAAGTGAGAGGGAATAAAGCGAGACGCGGATTAACTGTTATCTCTTCTCTCTCAGGGCATCGTACAGAGCCAGTGGCGTGAACATCGACGCTGGCGAGGAGCTGGTGAAGAGGATCAAGCCACTGGCGCGTGGCACAAATCGGGCGGGCGTGATTGGTGGTCTGGGCGGCTTTGGCGGCCTCTTTCGTCTGCAGGACGTGACGCGCCGCGGTGCGAATGGACAGGAGACGCGCTACAGGGATCCGGTTCTCGTCCAGGGCACTGACGGCGTGGGCACAAAGCTGAAAATAGCCGAGGCGATGCAGCTCTACGAGACGATTGGCGTGGATTTGGTGGCCATGTGTGTGAATGATGTGCTGTGCAACGGCGCTGAGCCTCTGGTCTTCCTGGACTACATCGCCTGCGGTCAGCTGGAGGTGCCCAAGGCCGCTATGATCGTCAAGGGCGTGGCTGAGGCGTGCAGAGAGGCAAAGTGCGCCCTCGTGGGCGGGGAGACAGCCGAGATGCCTTATCTGTACGAGAAGGGGAAGTACGATCTCGCTGGCTACAGTCTGGGAGTTGTGGAGAATGACGATATCCTGCCGCGCATGGAGGACATAGTTCCGGGCGATGTGGTGATTGCATTGCCGTCATCTGGAGTGCACAGCAATGGCTTCAGTCTGGTCAATCGCGTCATGACCATTCAAGGATTGAAGTTCACCGATGAAGCGCCTTTCAGCACTTCCAGGAGCAACTTTGGCAAGGAATTCCTCACCCCGACGCGGATTTACGTGTCTGAGCTGCTTCCTCTGGTGCAGAGGCGAGCAGTGAAAGCGCTGGCGCACATCACAGGTGGTGGTCTCATAGAGAACATCCCAAGAGTCCTTCCCAAGCACTTGGCTGTGCACATCGACAGCAGTGCCTTTGAAGTCCTGCCAGTTTTCGGTTGGCTCGCCGCTTCCGGGAATGTTAGCGAAGGTGAAATGCTGAGGACATTCAATTGTGGCATCGGAATGATCGTCATCTGTGCTGGTGACAGTGAAGCTGTCCAGGAGTTGACGAAGCGCGATGGACGAGTGATTGGTGTGATCGAGAAGCGCTCGGAAAAGGCTGTGATCGTGGATAATTTCACGGAAGCCCTGAATAGGGCAAAGGCACCATTTGTGGATGCTGAGAACATTCCTGAACCCATCACTTATCGTGCTAGTGGAGTTGACATCACGGCGGGAGATGATTTTGTGCGGGAAATCAAGCCACTGGCCAAGGAGACGAGTAAGCGTGGTGTCTTGGGCGGTTTGGGGAGTTTCGGTGCACTCTTCAGGCTCAACGAGTGGGAAAAGAAGTTCACCGATCCCGTCCTGGTGTTCAGCACAGACGGCGTGGGCACGAAACTGAAACTCGCCCAGGAAATGAAGCAACACTACAACGTGGGAATCGATCTCGTGGCCATGTGTGTTAATGATGTCGCCTGTACAGGAGCTCATCCTCTCACATTCCTGGATTACTACGCCTGTGGCCGGCTGAACGTCTCGCAAGCCGTGCAGACTCTTCGGGGAGTTGGCGAAGGATGCAAGCGAGGTGACAGTGCACTTGTTGGTGGAGAAACAGCCGAAATGCCGGGAATTTACCGTGAGGACGAGTATGATTTGGCGGGATTCTCCCTTGGTGTGGTCGAACGAGACAATATCCTGCCGAAGATTGAGAAAATCGTGCCTGGCGATGTGATTATTGGCCTCCCGTCGACTGGCGTGCACAGCAATGGTTTCAGCCTTATTCACTTCATTCTGCAGCGCCTGGGAAAATCCTGGACCGACAGAGCGCCTTTCAGTGCAACTGGCAAGTCTTATGGCGAGGAATTTCTGCGCGAGACCGCAATTTACGTGGAGGAAGTGCAAGAAGCGCTCGCAGCGTGTGAAATCAAAGCCATGGCGCACATCACGGGCGGAGGATTGGTGGAGAACATCCCGAGGGTGTTGCCCAACGACGTGAAGGCTCTGATTGACTTCAGCAGTGTCAGCATTCCGGCTGTTTTCCCGTGGCTTCGCCAGACTGGCAACGTGAGCAACGAAGAGATGCTGCGGACGTTCAACTGCGGCATCGGATTGGCTCTCATCCTGCACAGATCGAGTCTGGAGAAACTTCGCCACGGAATGATTGGCCGTCGCTTGGCGCTTCTGGGCTCAATTGAGCATCGTCGCGGTGATGAGAATCAGGTGCACATTGAGAACTTCCACGAGAGAATCAACTTCTTCCAGAATCTCGTGAGCACGCCTCGTCGTAAAGTAGCCGTTCTCATTTCTGGCAATGGGAGCAATCTTCAGGCCCTGATTGACGCCTCCAGGGACTCTTCGAGGAACGTCTGGTGTGATATTTGCCTGGTGGTGTCGAACAAGGAGGGCGTCTTTGGACTGGAGAGAGCCAAGAAGGCGAACATTCCCAGTGTTGTCCTCCAGCATCGTGATTTCCCGACTCGAGAGGCCTTCGATCAGGCAATGTCCCTGAAGCTCCAAGAGCAGGGAATTGAGCTCGTCTGCCTGGCGGGATTCATGAGGATTCTGTCTGAGGGCTTCGTGAGGACCTGGAAGGGAAGATTGCTCAACATCCACCCATCTCTGCTGCCTCGTCACAAGGGAGTCGCTGCTCAGAAGCTCGCCCTGGAGGCTGGAGACACAGTCTCCGGCTGCACTGTCCACTTCGTCGACGAGGGCGTCGACACTGGTGCCATAATCACGCAGGAGAGCGTGCCAATCCTTCCTGGAGACACCGTGGATAGCCTCTCAGAGCGCATCCATCGTGCTGAGCATCTGGCATTCCCCAAAGCGCTGGAACTCGTCACCACTGGCCAGGTGAGCCTGGGCGGTGATGGGAAAACCCTCTGGCGCTCCTGGAAGTGAGAATCTCAAAGTGCCATAAAATATCACATTTATTGCAACTACTTGTGGAACAATAAATCTTTATGCAATATAAGACACTGAGTGCTAAATTCATTGGGAAATTGACGAGATTTCACTCTCCAGGAAGAGTTGGCTATGCCAACTCCCCAATCTTGTACTTCTTCATTATGCTCCTGGCATCGGCGGAGTGGCCCACGTCCTCGAACTCCTCCGTGGCATCTTTTCCTGCCATGTCCCTGAGTATCTCCTCCCCGCCGGGATGCTGGAAAGGACATTTTCTGATCACTTTCCCAAGATCATATGGAATTCCCAGAACTGACCTCGGATTGGAACTTCGTCACGTCGTACACTGCTTTGTTGATCACAATCCACAGAGACTTCTTGTCATTGTGTTCAGCCACTTCGGCCAGCGTGAATTTCTTCTCAGAACTCATTGTAAAAAAGTAAAATTTTTTATGTTTGCTGAACGTAAAAAATCACGCGATTTCACTCATAATTTCAAATATTCCCAGACGATGGCGTCACATTCGCCGCATTCCAGTGGCGCGCAGAATCTCTAAAACGTAAACATTGTGATTAAGGAGTGATTAATCTTGTAAATTCGCAGTGATTAGAGCTAAAACCTACTCTGTGCGATGGATGATCGGCGTTTCTTCCCCAATGAGCCACCATATGTGGGAAAAAGTTTTCTCCGGCCAAATGGTTCCATCAAATTCGATCCCATCCTTACAGGTAAACAAATGCAAACTTTTCCTGTTTCTTCCCAATTTGACGATTTCCCCTGTTTGCAGATCAGAGGTATTCCTTCGTCATCAACCTCCTAAGCAATGACTACTGGAAGCAGAGAGTGAAGAAGGTGAATTGCGTACGGAATTCAAATTGCCGGAAAGTATCAAGCTTCTTCAAATTGCAGGTCGCGGACTTTGGATGCGCAGATCTGTCCTTCTTTCGCGTTCTTCGCAGTCTCAGATTCCTAGAGACTGCTTATCTGGTGAGTTTCTCAGATCTTATTGTCTGCACAAAAGCCAAATTCCAGGAACTCCTCATATGATCACAATGTGAGGTTGTGATCTTGCCCGGCAATTTCTTTGGTGTTGCCATCGCTGTGTCCGGGTGTCAGGCGTTCTAACCTCACAGAAGAAACGTTTACACGGGCCATACAAGGCCAAAATAAAAATGTGTCTTATGAAAATTGTGTACTTTTTAGCTATTTAGTGTGATTTTCTCTACTGGTAAGTCTTCGTCATGAACTACTCCAGCAGTTGTGTCGATATTTACTCAGCTATTGCACTTCCAGGGCTGAGAATGGAGAAAAAGCCGGGTGCTGTGGCGTGCGTTGTGCCGCCCTCTCATCACTTAATTGATGCTCAAATTCTGGCTAAAACCATCGCCAGTACGGACTCACTGGTGCGGCGCCTGCATGAGTCGCAACAGGAGAACACCAAGATGAAATTTGTGATGGAAACTGTGCGAAAAACTGCCTCAAAATGTAACAAATTGTACACGAAAGAGAGGGACAAACGAATACAGAGTGAAGAGGCTCTGCAGAGGATCCAGAAGGAGCTGGAGAGCGCAAGGGCACTCGCGGAGGCACAGAGACACCAAATAACCAATATGGAATACGTCCATAATCAGGCGCTTGAGGAGGCGCGACAATCTGCTGCTGGAGAGTCAAGGAGTCACCAGAAAGTGTTCAGCAGTGTTGTCCGGGAGTATCTGACCAGCTTACAGATGCAGATGGAGAGCAATGAACTGGATGAGAAGATGCTCGTGCGGGCAAAGTCACTGAGGAGTAGTTTAGAGGAATTCTCGTGGTTGAGGGAAGTTCTGGAACAATTTCCAGCGTCTGAAAAGAAGGGCAAAAGTGAAAAACTCAAGAGAACCAAGAGAAAACTCCAGGAAGAGTTTTCAGCTGATGACTTAAGTGATAATGATTCTGGAGAGGATGGAAGTGTCTTGATAGATGCCCAGAGGCTCGAAGATCTGTTGGAACAACAGAGTTTCAATATCAATAATTGTATTGAGAGTCCCGAAAGTCCCAAGAAAGTGGAGAAGAGTTTCTGCGACGCCGGAACAATGACAACGAGGATTACAATCACGAGAGCAACGAATACGGAGGTGAAGACTGCAGATGCAGCCACACTCTTCCCGGAATTCACTCCTCCCTCGTCGTTTGAGGAGATCTTCAGCGAAATGATTGTTGATCTTCCGGAGTTAATCACTGAAATTCCTCGTGCTGCCACGCGGGATGCGTGCACAGAAACTGAACAGGAGTGCAGCAAGAGCAACGCTGAGACCCTCACGGATCTCTGCAACATCCGGAAGATAATTGGGTACAGAAAGAGGAAGATTCAGTGCCAGCCAGAGAGTGTAAAAGTGGAGAATATGAAGATTGAGCCAGTTTCGCCAAAGCCTGGTGACGATGCGCAGCATCTTCAGTTCCAATTTGAGCACTTGTGGTCAGCTATGGGACAAACACTGTTCGCCATGCTCAGGAATTCCACTTGCGACATCGTTCAGAGTCAATATCTGCTCGAGCGTGAGAACATGGTGAAGCAGATCTTCTTTGAGGAGATGACAAAGCGTGAGAACATCCAGAATGACTTCTCTCACTGCCCCTTGCCGCTCATTTCACAGGAGTGTGAAGCAAATCCTGCGCCTCTGGACATGCCAATGGAGGAATCGTACATCGCAGAGCCACCAGAGCCGGCAGAAGAGAAGATTCGGAAGAGGATAGTGAGCAGAAAGGTGCCATTTAAGCGAAAGAGGAGCAATGTGATCGTGAAATCCATGAAGAAGATTAAATTGCAGAGGATTAGGCGGGAAAGAGTGCCAGAACAAGATGAGGATTCTCTGGAGGAGTTTGATTTGGAGAAGATTCGGGAGTTTTACGCCATTCCTGAACTTCTGGAGCCAATCGATGATCTTCCTGAAGATTTATTGCCTTCTGTGACAGAAAAGGAGTCAATATGTGATAAGGAACAGACTCAGGAACCTCGTGCAGTCTCAACCAGAGTTTCTGTGATGAGTTTTGTCCATCGACACACGGCGAAGAGGGTGAAAAAGCCTCCGGATGTGAGAATTGTGGAGAAGTGCCGAGCAGTTTTGCTGGAATACTTGCAATTGGAGTGGATTTCGGCTGAACTCGGGAAATCCGTTGAGAAAATGATGGCTTTAGCACCAAAGGAGGACATTATCTTTGAAGCAGTGGCGGGAATCACAGAAGAATCTTCAGATCACATGATGTTCAATCCGTTCGGCAGCGTGGCTCCGCTCATGCCCAAGACGCATCAGCAGATGATCATCTTTTGCCATTCTGTCGGCAAGTATTATCCTGAAGGCTTCCTGCGGCGATTCCTGCACTCGCTAGAGAGGCGAATGTTCACGCTAACGGCGCAGAAGAAGACGCTGAAGAACCTGGTCAACATTACTTACTTGCTGATCGCTCTGATGGATCTGCAGTTTGGTGAGAAACACGGAAGACTCTCTGTGCGGCTGTTCATCTTCAAGTGTCTCTACTACTTCCATCACAAAGCGCCGCCGCTGATCTTCATGGTGTTGAAGGCGTTTCCTGATGCTCTTCCTGTGCCTTCAGAAGGCTTTGAGGCCACAGAAACACTCCTTCTGGCATTGAAGTGTTGTCTGGCGCATTTGCCGCCACTTTCCAATGCCGAGACGGAGAATCCGGAGTTCAAGAAGAAGGAGCTCTTCTACCTTCTTCAGACGACGTACAAGTGCGAGCCTGGAAGACCATCGGCGGATGAGACGATCGGAATACTCATGGATCGTGTGAGGGAAGGGAATTACCGTCACGTCACGCACGCTTTCACGCTCTTGGCCAAGCGAATGGGCGTCAAATGGGCGAAGACGTCTCTTGTGCACAAGCATCTCATCCCATGTCTCAACGATGTGCTGCTTCTGACTGATCAAGAGCCTCGGAATGGCCAGATCGTCACGCTTGTGGACAGCATCTCGTGCATCGTGAAGGCTTTCTCTAACAAGGATGACATGGCAGAGTATCACAGGGTGTTCGCCTGCGTGCTGGAGAGCATAGAGAGTCACAGTGTTCAAGAAGCGGCAATTGCGGCCTTCCTGCGCCTTTCGCGCTTTGGCATGGTGAACGTCTTTAGCCAAATTTATCAGTGGCGAGCCAAAATGCCCATCAGTCGGGAACTCGCCGCTGCTTTGGATACCTTTATCCACCGCAAGCCCAAGAAGTTCTGGTTGACACTGGAAAGGCAGATTAATTGAAGAAATACAGAGAGTTGTGTATGAATTTTAAACTTGTGGTTTCATTGATAAGTCGTTTCACAATGTCTTCTGAGAACTTGATGACCTGAAGAGAATATTTGCACGAGCTGTTTAATCTTCAGATACGTTTTCTCTGCCATTCACAGGTCGACATCGATGAGGATTTGCTGAAGAATAACCGCTTCCGAGCGCAGCCAATCAATCACGACTTCATTGATAAAAGGGAGCATCCTTTTCACGTGGAAGTTCTTCGTGGCAGTGTCGATGTCTTCAGTGAGAAAATGCGGCATTTGGACGCTTTTGTGGCAATTGAACTGTAATTATCAATACTCATTGCACGATTTTGTCTTCTCTATTCACTGCTTTTTTCGCAGGATTGAACATCTCTATCCGCTTGAACTTGAGCGACTGCCTTACAATGTTTTTCACCTTATCAAGCCCCAAATTGCCATCTTCACGACTCCAAATTCCGACTTCAACGTCCTTTTTGCCAGTCTTCCTGCCCATAATTTTCGCCATGACGATCACAAGTTCGAGTGGAGTCGCGAACAGTTTCGAGAGTGGGCGGAAAATCTGGCACAGAGATTTCCTGACTACTCTGTCAGTATTCAGGGCATTGGCCCAGCTCCGGAAGGCAGCGAAGATCACGGTTGTTGCAGTCAGGCTGCAGTGTTTGTGCGAAACACCGAGTCTTCGACGGAAGTTGAGGCTGACGATATTCTGAACTACAATCGAGAAGCGGTGGTGAAAACGTACGAAGTCGTGATGGAATGTGATTTCCCCTTCGACCAGCGTTCCAAGGAGCAGAAGATCGGTGATCTTGCCATGTATCATATCAATTTGATGGAACATCGAGCCAGGATGGACAGAGAATTCGATTGTGACGAATTGAAAGTCGAGATTCCACTCCAGAAAATCATATCGTTCGTTTTAAAAGAATATTCAACGACTCTTGAGGAATTGGAGTGCATCTTGAAGGAGCGCAAAGTGGAGATTAGAGATCAAACTGTGATTGTTGAATCTGACGAGGAATATTCGAATGAAGATGAGGAGATGTACTGAAAGAAGAAAAGATTCTATCCTTGTAAAAATTCAGAATTGATTTATAAAATTTTTTTTTGCATTTTGTCATGCGAATTTTGCCAGTAAATGAAATGTATTTGGAGAATTCAGAAATAAACGATTTTCAAATTGTGATTCAAAGCGGTCTTTTTCCTGGAAGACTTCAGTAAATTTTTCAATTTCAATTCCAAATGCCCAAAATGCATTAAAGATTTAACTCTGCAAAGTTTCAGAGACGCCGCCTGGGAAATTGCTCCGACGCGCGCCTCGGTTTCTCCCCACAGAAATCCACCAACTTGTGGATATATTCACCATCGGCGAGTCGCGTCAGCGAGTGGTTTTCGTGGAGTTGTCAGTCGGTGCGAAAATGGCTGAAAGTAAAGGTGTGTTGTTAGCAAAGTCCGTACAAAAACACGCAGGTCGTGCTAAAGAAAAGGTAAGTGGGAAAAGAAAAGCCGTTTATAATGCAATTACCAGCCAATTGACACCGTGTGTGTGTGGGATTGCTGAAAATGGGGGCGCGCCCGGGCGCGTTTCCGCTTGTGGGGCGTCGTGGAATGAGCGGGGGGCGCGCGAGGGGGCGGCAGGACACGATGAGAAGTGTGCGTGAGTGTGCAGAGAGTGAGATGAGGCCAGAAATTCCGATGATGTTTGTCGTGTCCACTGTGGGTGGTTATAAATAGCGCAGCTCTTCTCCAAGAATAACAATTTTCACCCTGCCCGAGCGGCTGTGGCCCGTAATAAATCCCCGGTGGACATTTGGGGCGCTCCATCGGGACTGCAGCCGCCGGGAGCTCCCAATTGGAGACGCTCTGGAGGAGTGCAGAGACGATGATGGCATGCAGGGACAGGCGAGTGTGAGTGTGTGTGTGTGTGAAAGAGTGAGAGGAAGCAACGTGGAATGCAGAACTCGAAGCTGTTGACCTCCTCAGAAATGTGTGTAAAGCAATAGAGGAGAGAGACTGTGAGAAAAAGTGCCCCCCTGAAGAGACACAGAAGAAGAAACTGGCGAAGAAAGCATCTGTGGAGAGAGCGAGAGATTTTGGGGATCATTGCAAACTGGGATGGCCAAAAATGCCCCCAATCATCAGCCAGACATCCCGAGTGTTGGCCGGCTGATGTGCGTATAAATAGCGATGCCCGCGCCGAAGTCTCGAAGGAAATTAATAGTCTCTCAAGTTGAGGAATGGCCGAAGTGAGGAGACAGAGCAAAAATGCGAGATATCTAATCAGTTTTTGTCCAAGTGACGAAAGTATTTCAAAGTCGACGCAGAGATTATGTTGGATCCCAGAGAGTTGAAAAATTCCTTCTTATTCACACCTCGAAAAATCACTCGACAAATCCAATGAAAGGAGAGTTTCTCTCGCTGATTCAGAGGAGGGAATTGGAAATTTTCCAACAATCTTCTCTTCTCCAAGCGGCACTTAAGTGAATTCCAATTCCGTTCGAGAAAATTGGAAATGCAACAATACCAGAGATCACTCGAATTCTCAAGCTAAATTCCCTCTAGTCTGGCCATCGAGAGCCCTAGATTACGTGAATCCGCAGCTAAAGTGTTCAGGGCTTGATAACACAATGACTTTAGGGTTTTTTTTGCCTTTGGAGAACGCACACTTTTTGCAGGGTGAACCATTTTTGATAACACTCACACGAAACGTGGAAAATTAGTATTTTTCCATTCAACAATTGAATCAAAATCTAGAATAAAAAAAAACGGAGTATTCAAAGATAATTTTGATGTGTTTCTGAGTGAAAATTCTCATTCTTGAACTCTAAATGTGTCTTAATTGCTTCCAAAGCTTCAAATAATTGTCACAGCGAGCGCTTGAGTTGCTTGAAAATGTACTGAAATTGATGCTTTTTAAGCATTTTTTATTCACTTAAAATCAAGCACATTAATTTTGTTCTCGCTGACGATTCTTCCCACATTCTCTCCTTACGAGCGTTCATGCATCTTGAATGCATGTTTGTGAGCAATTTCTGCAGTGCAAATGACGATTTTTCCAGAGAGTATTCTTTCCAAGACCCATTTGAAAATGTGTGACATTCAGGAGATCACATCGCGCCTTTTACAAAAGAATGCTCAGCATTTGAATTTTTACATTAATTAGCCGCTCCTCTCTATATGGTTCTTACCGACAAAACTATAACTTGTATTTATGGTGTTTTTAGTGAATGACAAGCAATTGGTGCTGAAGCTCAAACGGGGGTTTATCATCTCTCAACTTCGCTGACTGACGGTGGGCTCGGGAATTCATTAAGATTTGTCAGATAAGATTTTTATTTCATGACAATTCCATGCGGTTCTGGCGCTGATGGAAGAATGTGGAAGTTGTGTGTCGACACAGCACGTGAAATTGTTTGCTTCTATAATGAGGATTAGGGAATTGCGAGGCTTTTCTAGTGAGTGCGGAGATGTTGAATTGCGAGGGAAAGGTTGTGAGCCACTGGCCTGAATATTGACATCACTTGTTGAGTGTGAGTGGAGGCAATGAAAGGAGTTTTTGACTTATAAATCTCTGGGGCATGCATATTGGGTATGAATGAAGTCATCAGATTACTGTAGGTTGATCATTTTTCTCGCCAGAGACTGTGTCTCTTTCCCACAGACGCTTCGCCTCTCCGTCGTGACTCTTTTCTCATCGTGTGTTAGTTGAATTGGAAAATTTATACATAAATTACACTGAGAAGATGTGGAAGAAACACACTGGCGGCTGCTGGAGAGGTGGAAAGGGTGAGGAAATGTGGGAAAACGGGGGAGCAAAGCAGTGTCAAATGCTAGATTGAGAGAGTGAGAGAGAGACTTTTCAAGGACCCACGACAATCTCACTGGCTTCTGTGGGTGTTGAAATGGGTAAGAAAAATCTCTTTAGCGGTGTGTAAGTGTGTTAATTGATAACGCGTCTTCAGGCAAATATTCTCCAAATTGCACGGATTTTCTTATCTCTCGAGTTCTCTCTGCTTGTCCTGCCTCGTTATCTTCCATCGTGGTATCAAACAATGAGAGAAAACAGCACCTAAACATTAACTTGTGATTAAAATGTTGATATCTCTCGACATTTTTTCTCTCTCGGCTATTTGTGAAAATCACAGATATAGTTTTACACTTTCTCATACCTATGATCAATTTCACTAACTAAATTAGTCACTTTTTCACTCTTTCTCGCCTGCGAGATTCAGTGATGTCGAGAGGAGGAGGAGGAGGAAAAAAACTTGTTTTACTTTTATACTACACAAACTTAAGGAGTTTTTTGCTCGCTTCATTTGCCATTGGTGCCCAAAGAGACACACAAAGGCGAACAAAATAATATTTTTCAGAAGTTGAGTCCCACGTCTTGAGGCATGAAAATTTGTGATAGACAAATGAGGAGGATTTCGATGACAGTGGGCGACAATTTTGGCTTCGGCAATCGAAAAGTGTGTTATTATGAGATGTCAATATATCCTGAAATGCTATGAATGTCCATTTATGGTGCAGAAAGACAATGAAATGCTATTGAATACGAACAAATCTACGGAATGTTGTTCGTGTGGCTTTTTTTCATCTTCTTCACTTGTGATGGTTGCAAACAGAAGCTGAAAGTGCTGATAAAGTCCGCCAGAGAGACACATTGAGAATGAGAATCACTGATAAAATTGTTCGCAATGTGAAGTCACGTGGTTGTCGCGTGAGTTTTCAATCAATTTTCCTGAGATTCAATTTTCTTGACTCACCACGAGGTCGATTACGTGATGAGAGAGAAGTTCTACACAATGTTTTTTTTTGTGGTTTTTCCACATCAGCTCTGAAAGCTTTGCTCTTTTTGCTTGACTACAAATTGTATACTTTTAAATATTAGCGATTAATAAGTTTTTTTTTTTTACAAACCTTTCTAGTCTTTTCCAGTGAATTAAAGGGGTGTAAAAACCATTGAGAAATGCAACGTGTTCAGTCTGTAATACCGCACAAATGAGTATGGAGAAGAAATTGCATAAAAAGAGTGTTTTTGTATAGCTGGAAATTACTTAGAAAATTGACGTGAAGTGAAATAATTAATGAGATTATCCTTGAGATTGCAATTGAGGTGGGTTTGGAGAGAAAGTTGAATAATTCTTTAAAACTCACGTCTTATGTTATCAGAGAAATATAATTGAATGAGGAATTTCACTTGTAATGAATGCGGCATAAAATATAGAACACGGTTTCCTGGTGTATTTTTTTTTCCATGCTATTCTGATAAATATTCTGTTGCTGTTTTTTCTCCTCCTCGCGGCACTGCAAATTTAACCAAATTAAGACTGCGTGTATACTTTCTAATAAAACGAGTTGATTCCAGAAGATTGCACGTGAACATCGATGTTTCGTTCAGTACAGTAAAATATTGTATGTAGCGTGAATTATTAATAATTGTTATTGCCTTTATAAAGAGAAAGAACTTTTAGCGATAAATTAAACGCTAATGATGATGATAAGAATATATAAAAATACCGCAGATTTCTTGTCGCTCATGAGTTTCTCACAGGTATTCAATTATTATCTCATATTGTTTTGCGGTGGTGCGTTTTTCCATCGCTTCTCTCCTTTACATTTTCTGCATCTTTTTTTCTTTCAACAATCGCACGGATGAGCAAAAAGAAGGTGGAAAAAAGCGATAGAGGAAAAAACGATGAACACAATAATAATTCACTCATTGCTCGCTGCCAGGCTATAAATAGGCTTTTTGCCGTTTGTTTTAGTTATGCAATGCAGCCAGCCACAGAAGAAGCATATTAAAAGAGGTCAAAGTAAATTAAGTTAGAATGGTACATGAAGATGAGATTGTGAGTGTGTGTGCTGGGAATTTGTCACCACATGTAGGTTTTTTAATGTAAGACACATTCTTGATATTTGCTCTGTCTATCACTCTCGCGGTTTATTGAACTTCAATATATTGTTGGCAATTGGATTAGGAACGAACTCTGTCTCGCTGTAATTATTAATGGGAACTTATTGCATTATTATCATATTGTGATAACCGCTGAGTTGCTGAACTTAACTTTTTTTTTTTTGAGAGACAATTTCACTGTGATGGAAGAAAGATATTCCATCGTTTTGCTGTGTCGAATCCCAAAAAGGAAAATGAAAGTGAAATGTTTATGACAATAGCCCCAAAGTGGGGCAGCATTCAATTCCATATGTATGTCATATGGCAACCCTTCAATGTAAAGGTAACGAAATTCACCTTCATCTTCTAAATATTGCTGAATTTCATTGAAATTTTCTCAAATTCACAAGATATTGCTTTATCAATAGGAAATAAGATGATTTCCCCTGATATTAATTGAAAAGTAATACTCAAATAGTGAGCAATGGTGTTGCCAGAGCAGTATTTACCCGAAGTTAGTCACATTTTAGCATAAATTTTCATATTTTGACAATATATGAGTGTGTCTATCGCACTTTGAAGGAATGAAAG